ATGACCTTATTAATCAGATAAACCCATACAATGGACCTTATGAATCAGATAAGTACATGTAATGGACCTGATGAATCGGCGTATCCACGGGATTCTATGGCAATGTGTTTGCTTTGGTGTCTGCCATTGCTAACTTGTTCAGGGTGTTTGCAAGGAGAAGGGCGTATCGTTCCATGCCACCCTTGTGGCTTTTTGGCAGCTCATGTTCGATGTAAAACTCGTGAATGCTTCGGTCAATGGCACCTTCATCAAACCATCTCTGGAGCTGACATCCGATGTTGTACGTACCCCTTATGACTGTGTTCAATTGCATTGTATGTACAATATGACTTCCTGGTTTCCTGGAAGTTTTGTCTATAATGTAGTTGTGTGAGGGATACACAGGGATTTTGGAAATGAACGACAACGCTGACCATATGGCCTACTTCACTCCGGTCGTTGTCACTGAGCCTGGATATCCTAGTTGCAAGCAACCATTTCTATTTTAGCTCTTGCAAAAGTAGCTACAGATTGGACACCACATGCTGTGGAAATTCTTCCTACCTCCATAGTATCCGCGATTGGAGTACTGTGTGAATTACAGATAGAACAACAGTAGTTGTGAATTCAGATTGCGTGGTAACTGATGTGTATGTGTATGTGACGTCATAGAAACCGCTTTGCAAAGGGTCAGGGCAACGCTGCCCATGAGCTCATTATATAAGTTCGTTTGGAGTTTCATGAAGAAGTCAGTTGTTTGTTCCAGAATTCCTTGTGTTGTTTCAGAGTGTGAGTCGGACACGCGGACGCGAACATTACATTGACTACAGTGTCCTTCTAGCTCTGAGGCTCTGCACAGCAGTTCAGTGCATTTGTCAATGCCTGCATCTCTGCTTCGTATCCGGTGTACAGGGTGTGACTAATGTATCCACGAGTCCAAACTGCACAGCCGATTGCCACACATACCTTGACCACGAAGTGTCCGTGTACAAGCTACGCCGTACCCTGTACAATGTTATCCTAAAGGCTATTGTAAGTCACTGCTAGCTAGGTGCATTACCGTTACTGGGATCAGGGAACAGTTACCGTAACACACGAAATAATTCTCCTGTTGAGCCGCTTAGAACTGCATACATGTACCCACATACTGGCCACCATAACTGGCACAATATAGTTAGTTTATAGTAATCACCAAACACTGGCCCAAACCTGCGGATCATACCGTAACGCTTAATTCCTTACTTAGGTCTGTTGTATTGTGCTCTGTCTTGTCCTCTGTTCCGTTAGCCTACTTTGACAGTCTGGGATCCGTTGTATTGTGCTCTGTCTTGTCCTCTGTTCCATTAGCCTACTGTCAAGCTCCCTGCACCTATTGATCTGACCAGTCTCGTCTTATCATTTGGAGATGGCTATATGAAGTTATCAGTAACAGCAGTTATGCCGAAGGCTAACGTTGACAGAGCAATGGAGGCCGCAGACGACGAGGCAATGCAGAGCAACACGCAGTGGAGAGTGAAACGCGATGAAGCACTGTATCCTACTGATGGCTCTGAACCACGCAGTTTGAACACCACCATCGATCTCCTGTCAGACATCTTGCCTTTTCTGGCCGTCAAGTGTCCCGCTATCCCTGGAGCAAAACCAGACGGCTGCATTTAGCGGACATGCAGGCCTGCACTCAGTCTCCATGACTACAGAGAATTTGAAAATTTGAAAGCAGAGCAAGGGAGATTGAGAGTAAGCGGCACGTTGGCATAATATCCTACAGCGACCCGGGTTTGAATCGGCACAATGTCACGAGATCATACCTAGATACTTGTAAGTAGATAAGGTCATTGGCATGATTGTGAGATTGTGTTGGATCGTTCATATTTGAATGGTATTGTGCTGGCACAATGTGGGTGTGTTTTCAAATCCTTTAACGTAGAATAAGTTATTGGCTAATTGGACAACTTTTTTTGCATATTAATCAGTAAAGGCATAATTATGCATGGCAAATTTGCGAAATTGCGTGGCAATGTTTCTTGCGATCGAGAGCCGTCTGTCGTGTTCTTGCAGGTACTTCGAAGTAAAAAATATTATTATTGTTCGAAGTTGAACTTGGATGGTGAGCCGATGTAATCATACGTCATTACATTACCCGCACCATTTTGTCCTTATCCTTTTATTATTGTTCAATTTTGTTTTTTCCATGATTGACTGTGCTTGCCTAATCCGCATACAACTTACCCACTCTACTGGCTAACTTCCACAAACTCAGTGATTCTCATTGTGGCACTCTAGGGAAAGCATCTATGGTAATATTCAACTTCTGAAATTCTGATTGCGGTTGGGCACGACACTAGTACTTTTCAACATTCACATTGTATGGCTCAATTGTAGTAGAAGTTTTTTTTTATATAGTTAATTGGGTAACCGACTACCGTCGTTCTCTAGGTAACCCGGCATGACTGAGTTAGTAGTCATTTTATCTGACTGTATAATTGTACATATTTTGGGAAGTGCAATAATTATGGAAGTGTTCATTTTGTACGTGTGATGCCGAGTGACTGGTGTGACGGAACGAGAGAAAGAATGGAACTCTCAAAGCAAAGTGTGAGCCGTAGGTTGTCCGTAAGGGAGAAAGTGCGTGTAACATGTATGTGTGTGTGTGTGTGTGTGTGTGTGTGTGTGTGTGTGTGTGTGTGTGTGTGTGTGTGTGTGTGTGTGTGTGCGTGCTTTCGTGTGTTCACATGTGTGAGTGTGTGCACGGGTAATCATAATAATGATCATAACGTTATGCATGTGTGGCGGTTTTGTTGTATTCTGCCTACCGGTAATGCGTTGCAAGGTGAAGGGCACAACCACGGCCTGGGCCCATGTCACTATTGTATTTTTTTATTTTTATGTTTATTTGAATTCGGATAGCTCAACAGTACAGAAGTACAACTACAAAGAGTACCGAATAGAAGGCCCCGAGAATGGGAAACCAAAAAAACAAAAAAAAACAAAAACAGCAACATCAAGTTACTGATTATGCACATTGCTTGAAAGCAAATCACAACAATGATTAAGAGTTATGAATGGCTCAATTGGACAGGAGCGGTTCGAGTCGACGGGGTTGCTTGTGAATACTCTATCCGTCTGTCGCTGGTTTGTGCCTGGAACTACAATGTATGTTGAACCGTTTCAATACAATCATGGTGTAGGCTTGTTTCAATACAATCATGGTGTAGGCTTGTTTCAATACAATCATGGTGTAGGCTTGTTTCAATACAATCATGGTGTAGGCTTGTTTCAATACAATCATGGTGTAGGCTTGTTTCAATACAATCATGGTGTAGGCTTGTTTCAATACAATCATGGTGTAGGCTTGTTTCAATACAATCATGGTGTAGGCTTGTTTCAATACAATCATGGTGTAGGCTTGCTTCAATACAATCATGGTGTAGGCTTGTTTCAATACAATCATGGTGTAGGCTTGCTTCAATACAATCATGGTGTAGGCTTGTTTCAATACAATCATGGTGTAGGCTTGTTTCAATACAATCATGGTGTAGGCTTGCTTCAATACAATCATGGTGTAGGCTTGTTTCAATACAATCATGGTGTAGGCTTGTTTCAATACAATCATGGTGTAGGCTTGCTTAGCCTTAGAGATGCGGAATACCCTCAGCCTCTAATTAGCATCACTGCTGCTCCTCAGGTACCTACTTGGGAAATGCCACTGTTCCGAGTCCGATCTCCGTTGCCCAACGATCATGTTGTTGTGCTTTTTTTATTTAAAGTTACAGCCGTTCTACCACTACGAACCGTAGCGTTGAAATGTGCCTTCTCTCAAGATGGAGAACTTGAACTCAGTTGGAAGCGTACTAGTACTAGTAGTAGAGAATGGGTTGGGGGGGGGGGGGGGGGGGAGAGAGAAATCCTGTTGCCATGCATGCCAACGAAGCACTAGGAAATATGCGGACCCCTTGGCCGTGGGGACTCTTGGTACCAGTCATCTAGCATAGAGGACAGATTTGTATAATGCCATCCGTGTCTTACCCCCCCCCCGAATTTTCGCGGTACAAGTAGTCGCTTATGCACGTGACTTTCATGGGTATTCCCCAACGCCAAACGAAAACTTTTTGATCTTCCACGTTCCAGTTCTATTTTGGCCTTGTTGCAACGAAATTTTGTTGAGCATTGCATTCATCTCACTTTGCTGATTTTATAAACTACATTGTACTTTCATGCTTTGGGATAATTAAATTTGTCATCGTCTCATTGTGCTGACGATATCAGATATCTGGAATATTTGGCAGGTCACTGTCATTAGTCATTAGTTTTGTTCGATGACAACATCCAGATCTGCAGCAGCAAAATACATCAGAGAGTAGAGGGATTCACGTGATGCTCACGATGACACGAACTATGTTCTGCTGGTAGGTAGGTTGGTAGCTGGTGGAGCTCGCCTGGTTCCCGTGCCTGTACGGCTGTAGTGGACAGCTCAATGCCAGCTGGAAAGAAAAGAAGTGCTGGACGAACGCAGGTGTAGCTCTACTGGACTTTTTCATCTACGTTGTAGTTTGACCATTGGGCACCTAGCTATGGAGAAATATTATTTGAATTCGTAACATCATTTTCCTCTTGTAGCCAGTGAGTGCAGTGAGGTCGAACGGCCAAGATGGCGTGGACGACTAGTCTGTGCATGGTATTGTGCATGGCGTTTAGTGTGCAAGGGTTTGGACTGCGTGACAATCCAGTAGAAGGTGACGACGTTCAGTACTTGGATGGCTCTTGGATTGCCACACATCAGATGTCTGGTCCGGTGAAGAGTTGTCAGTTTACTGAGAACATGGATTACAACGTTGGCGAGACGTCTAGTGGTAGTGCCCCAGCCAGCAATCAGCAAGACTGCTGTACACTGTGCGGTCAGAGAGACGACTGCGTAATCGGTGTTTACCATAGTAGCACGTGCTGGTTCAAAACTGCGCAGGATGTTGCCAAGCCGATGCCGCAAGATGGCCGAGTGGCATGCAAGCCTCAGCGATCACCAGGATCAACCATTGCACTGTCCAATGCCACTGTTCCTGGAGATTTGATCACGGACTTGGAGATGGCTGGAAAAGTGGGTGATCCGCTGTACGAACTCAACTTCAAGAACGCCACCCTATGGGGCTTCGGGGTGTGGAACTACACCAAGACTATCAAATTTACCGACATGGACGTGAAAAACATTGCTGGATATTCTACGGCGGGCAGTGATGTTGTCCTGGTGTTTGACGGCATCAAGATGGGAGCCAACATTTACATGAACGGAAAGCTGTTGGGTACGGCTAATGATCAGTTCCTTCGATACAATTTCTCCCTGGGCCAAGCTATGAACAGCGGCAATGGTGGCAATGGTTTGCAAGTGCAAGTAGGTGATAACAAACTGGTCGTGTCGTTTGATGCGAGCATCGACACCGGCGGTCGCTTCATGGCCTGCACCGGTGGCTGGGACTGGGCGCCGTACACCACGACGTTGGAAAGCTCAACCAATTCGGCCACGTTCACGCGTGGCATCTGGAAGAGCGTGTATCTCGTGACCGTCAACGGAGGCGGCGCCGCTATTGAGCACGTCATACCGCAGATCTTCTACACCGGTCCGTATCCGACTGCGCCGCTCCCTGCCAACGAGCATAGCGACTTCAAGGTCGATGTCATCGTCAAGTTCTATGCACCGCGCGCCAGTGAGGGGACACTGAGTGTACATGGTGAGTGGGGTTCGTCGGAGCATCAACACATCTCGCTGACAGCGGGCAGTGGAGTTAGCCACACCGTCAGTCTCACGGCGTCGGCGAAGAACATCTCACTGTGGTGGCCATCCGGACTGGGGCCTCAACCGCTTTACACTATTGCCGTATCCTACACGGCTGATAGTGCGCATCATACTCATGACGACACTAATGCTGATGCCACTGCCGTGTCAACCATTCGGAAAGTTGGATTCCGGTACGTTGCCCTGGTAACTGGCAACGACACAGACCCAAGCTATGTGAAGAAAGCATCGACGTCGCAGACAACGGCAGATTTTGGCATGTACTTCAGAGTGAACGGAGCTGTTGTCTTCAACCGCGGTGCCAACATGATTCCGATGGAGGAGCTGGAGGGGCGTATGAATGCAGTGGCGTTCTCCCGTCTGGTCCAAAGTGCCGTTGATGGTCGTATGAACATGTTACGTGTGTGGGGTGGTGGTATATTCCTACCTGACATCTGGTATGATGAGTGTGATCGCCTTGGTATCATGGTCTATCATGACATGCAGTATGCACAGAATGGACACTCTCCCAGCAATAATCCCGTCCAGGACGCCGAGCTTCGTCACCAGATCCGCCGCCTGTCTCACCACCCCTGCATTGTTGTCTGGGACGGTTGCAACGAATGTCGCGTCAAGATGGGAACAGCCACCGGTATCTACGCTACGTTTGTCATGACGGTTGTCATGCAAGAGGACAAATCACGACCAATCTGGCCATCTTGTCCGGCTATCGGCTGGACAGCTGGAGTTCATGCACTGGACGCTACACCCACTGGTGACGTTCTCACTACACCTAACGATGCAAGGTCTATTGAAACTCACGGTCCGTATCAACATGGCGGTGGGTTTCCTTCCGTCAATGGTGACAACAGGTTGGTTCTCTTCCCCTCCAACATCCCCATCAAGGTGAGCCAAATAGACACTGGTGTTGCTCTACAGAATGTTTTTGCATCGGAGTTTGGCTGCTCGGTGTTCAGTTCGTTTGAGTCGATGTCCCCTACCCTCCATCCCAGTCACTGGGGTGTGCATGCCGGACTGCCCCCGGATAACTGCACGGGCGGCTTCCATAGCCGTTGCTCTGGCAACAATCCAATGGCGGAGAGGAACTACGCATGTGACAATATCATCCAAGTATATTTCGGAGAGAACGACAAACTGGATAGTGTCGGCGAGGCCATCTTCAAGCAGCAGCTCTACCATTGCATCCTTGGACAGGCACTGGTAATCAAGAGTAACATTGAAACACGCCGCTCTACCAACCAGTTTGGCATAGTTGTGTGGCAGTACAATGAGATTTGGCCTACTGGTGGTTGGGGTAGCATAGAGTATGGTACACCAAGACCTGGACAAGTCATCGGTGGAAGATGGAAACCTCTGCATTACTTCTATCGCCAGTCTATCTTCACGGATGTAACAGTTGCTTGTGGTGGTGATGGCCTGTGTTATGTCAAGAATGACATTGCTAAAGCGTTCAGCGGCACCGTGGTCATTTCAGCCATTGCATTTGCAAACGCACAAGTGACAACGCTTGAAAGTAAAACATTGAGTCTGGCTACTGGACCTGGTGTCACCGAGTGGATTCAAGTGGACTTCTCCAAGATCAATCCTCCTGATCAAGTCATCACAGCTACCATTATGAATGCTGACAAGGAAGTAGTGTGTGATAATGTTATTCCACTGACTGAGCCGTACAAGATGAAGTTACTCAAGGCTAACGTGAAGGTGTCGGTAGGTTCCAAAAATCCTGGAGGCAGTGTTGATATTCATCTTACAACAGATCATGTAGCTATGTATGTAACTGTAACTACATTGGCTGCTGGTCGCTTCAGTGACAATGCTCTTCTTCTCCTTCCCGCCGGCAAAACAGTTCAGTTCCTGCCATTCAGTGACACGGTTGATATGTCTTTGCTGCAGTCTTCCATTCGTGTGGAAGACGTCTCTGTCTATATGTGAGTGTTTTTGGCTTGGTTTCTTTTCTTCTTTGATTTTGCTTGGCAAATTTTTGCTTAGTCTGTATTTGGAAACCGATTGTTTGAAATGGCACTATTCGCCTGTCCGCTTCTGAGGAATTTTAAAAAACATGTTTTACTATGTTCCCCCTTTCCCCTGTTATCTGCCCCTTTCCCCTGTTATCTGCCCCTTTCCCCTGTTATCTGCCCCTTTCCCCTGTTATCTGCCCCTTTCCCCTGTTATCTGCCCCTTTCCCCTGTTATCTGCCCCTTTCCCCCTTTCCCCTGTTATCTGCCCCTTTCCCCTGTTATCTGCCATTCCCCCTTTCCCCTGTTATCTGCCCCTTTCCCATTTCATTGCAAATACTAGTAGTAGTCTTCTTTTATGTAGGTGTAGCTGGTCATTGTTTAGGTCGGAGATCAATCGTGTAGTTCCGATTAGTCATTTTGATTTAGAGTGTTCCGTTGATTACGAGTATGTGACCTCACTCCCAGTCACTGTTCCTATCAACAGCTTAACCTTTGAGTGGAATGCTGGCATTTCAATTCTTGTTTTGACGTCGTATTCCTGTTTTTGTGTAACAGCGTATTGTAGTAGTGTAGTGTTTGTGTTGAATTAGTCGTCGAACAGTGTGAACAAATACTTGGTCTAGAGATGAGTTCGGAAAACGTGGTGTGTGTGTGTGCACACGTGTGCATGTTGTGTGTGTGTGGGGGGAGGAGGAGGATTGGACCACCAGGCAACGTGATGTCCGGCGCCTGGAGTCCTTTCATCTGCTGTGTGTGCGTTCCATCCTGAAGGTGAATCGTGGCCGGCAGTTAGATAAGCACATCTCTCTTCAGGTCGTAGGATGTGGGGAGATCTGGGGGAGGTCGCGGATAAAATCAGAGTCCGCCGACTTCGATGGCTCGGCCACGTGTCCCGCATGCCAGATCGTATCCCTCGTCAGCTGCTGTACGGCGCATTACCGTCCAAACGCCCACCGCCTGGATCCCGTAAGCGTTGGAAGGACTTCGCGAAGCGCGGCTTGGTGGCTGTCGGCGTTCCTCTGCAGCAGCATGGTAACATTGTCCAGGATCGACAAGGATGGCGGGTCACCTGCCGTGACGCTGTCGATGCTATCGTCCGGTCCCGCATGGAGCCTGTGGTGAAGCCCCTCATTTGTGACACCTGTGCACGCAGTTTTTGTCGGCCACAAGACATTGTGAGGTGCAAGTATAACGCTGTCCGTGCAGCCAGCGCACGCTGAGTCTGGCGTGCCCCACCCGGTGGACAGCACGCCTGCTGGTCTGCCCCTTACGGGACCACGTAGCCAGTCATTGCAGTGGAAGGAGGAAGGAAGGTGTGTGTGAATGTATGTGTAATTATGTTTGTGTGTGCGCGTGTGTATGTGTGTTTGTGCGTGTGTGTGTATATAAATGTGTGTGTGTGTGTGTGTGTGTGCGTGTGTGTGTGCGTGCGCACGTGCACGCGCACACTTTTGACCTCACTTGTAATCCCCTTGAATGGTTTGTTGCTTATTCTGACGCCACTGCACCGTAGTGTCCGAAGTATCCATGTGTCAACATCGGTTTTTTAATTTTTTAATTAAAGAGAACACAAACCTACAAATCATGTTGAAAGACAAAAAGTACATTGGACTGGGCAGGCGCTATCCACAATGCCAGTTAATGTGCTGATGAAATACATAGACTCTGCCGACCATGGGTCTCGGCGTCACAGTGCCATGTATGCATCAAAAGTAATCATAAGTTTATAATGAGCCAACATAAGAAAGTGACTGAAGACAAAAAAATGAAATAAAAAACAAGACAAAACAAGAAGGGAATAATAATAGTGGAAAAAAGGGGGAGATTGAGAGACGCGTGGGTAGCTCTCGAGTGATACCGCAGGGTGAATCTAGACCAGAGTGGCTGGCGACTTTGTCGCAGGTGTGTGCAGCAGTGGCTTTCAGAGGTGGTCTGTAGCTCACAGCCAGTCAGTGTGTAGCAAGTGCTTCCATGCAGCTGCCTTGAAGCGGTGCAGCCGTTGCAGGGACATTGATGGCTGGAACAGGGAGGGTGGCAGTTGATTCCACAAACTCAGATGTGGGCAAACGGGAAGGACCGCCTGATGTACTCTGGTGCAGCTGGTGGTAGGGTATTGAGGAGCTGGTGAGGATGGGTCACCGCATGTGTGTGTCGCCGGTTTCGTGGACGAACCACCGTGACAGTGGGTGCAGCTGGTGCCGGGGACAATGTTGGTCAGCTGTTGTGGGCTTTCGATGCACTGAAGCTTGTACATGTAGCACAATCCAGAGAGAGTGCGTCGTGTAGCCCTTTCCCAAAGATGCCATGATTTTCCGCAACTTATGCTTTTCGCAACCGTGCCAAAACAGGTGCTAGTTGCTGAAATAGCATCCATATTTTCAGAAAAAGCTCAAAATTTGCTAATATCGCAACTTAAAATTGGAGAGTTCTTGTGCAAAAACCACCAAAAAGGAGCAGAAATAGCAGAAGTCAAACTCGTACATCCCTTCTTGCTGTGAATCACCACTTCAACACTACACAATGCCAGTATCCTGTTGCATGTATCCTACATCGTTCCAGTGCAAGGCAAAGGGAATGCACATTATAGTAACTACCGTTGATCAACTGTTTCTCTGAAATGAGTCTGAAGGCAGGTGAGAAATGAGCGAGTATGCATTTGTTCGACATGCAGTCCGTGACTAGACCTTTTGACCACATGCCATGGGGCCAAGGTTGCGGAAAGGTTGCGAAATAGTTCGCGAAAAAGAAGGAAGTTGCGATTTCTTCCTAAACAACGAAAAGTTGAGAAAAAAAGTGGCGAGCATCTTTGGGAAAGGGCTAGCATCGTGCAGCCAGACTCTGGAGGAGCACATCTGGTCCTATGATGGCCATTGCCTTCCGCTGAATGCGGTCGAGCCTGGCCAGATGGGTCAGGGCAGCAGACATCCAGACCAGTGGAGCATACTCCAGCATAGGGCGAATGAATCCTCGGTAGACACTCAGACAGCCATTGGTGTCAAGTATCAGCGCGGCTCGGCGCAAAAGCCCAAGACGTTGACATGCTCTCACCGCCATCCTGCTGATGTGCTGGCGAAATGAAAGCTTTGAGTCGAACAATATACCCAACAGCGTCAGTGTTGATGCCTGGGCAATGTCGACACCACCAAATGAGATGCCTGGAGTGGCTGGGTCCAAGGATCGTGTGCATAGTAGCTGCTGTGACTTGGATGGCTCAAATGTCACCCGCTGCCGCCACCGCTCACCCCACTCTTGAAGGCCATGTAGGGCATCTTGTAAGGAGGCATTGTGGGGAGCAGCAGTTCCTGGTTGCAACAGGCTGTATAGCGTGGTGTCATCAGCAAAGGAGCTAAGGCGCGTTCCAGGGGTAAGACATTGGTCGATGTCGCTGACGTAGATAAGAAATAAAGTCGGCCCCGAGGATACTTCCCTGGGGTACTCCCGCGGTGATAGGCTGGGCAGATGAAGCTTGACCGCTGACCACAACTTTCAGTTGGCGGCTATGTAGGTAGTCCTGAAGCCAAGTCAGTAGGTTGTTCACTTGGCTCCAGCTAGTTTCTTTAGGCGAGTGGCCTCAAGTGCCATATAAATGCCATGCAGGGGGTGTAAAGCCCATCTGTTAAGAAGCCGATGCATGTCAATGCTTTACATGGGCCAGGTGGCTCTCAAGAATCGTCCACTTAGCTTCATATTGAATTAATGCGATCGGATCTCATTTTCCATCGCTGCTGTCTATTGGTTAACAAGAAGTTCAGTGTTGGACTCCACCCAGAACATTCTTGGTAGCCAAATCGTTGCCCCAGCCAATCGGACCGGTTCTGCCGGGCCTACAAAAAATGTCGGGATGTCACTCAGTCTCCACACAACAGTGACGGCACTGTAGCCAATGATATTATTTAACCAACCAATGGACTCCAACCAATGGACTCCAAAGGGTTAGCAAAAACGTTGCCCTGATACTTGCTTTTCCCGGATAGTGGTGGTTTTGCACCCCATGCACTGTTACTACTACTGCTGTTGCTAGCGCCTGCAATTACATGTATGCACGCACCTAGTGTCATGTACATGTATATTCTGTTTGGTGCCTGTACCTGTGCCATATTTAGAGTTGTCGCGTATTGCGTTATTTCTATACCAGGTTTTTTGTGATGTTTTGTCTTTCCTTTTTTCTCTCTCATAATAGTGCATGCAGGTGTGATTTATTATCAGTTCGCAGCGCTCCTCATTTATAAACCCATCCTAACCGGTGCAGTGTGCCCACTTCATTCCTGATGATGGTTATTTCATGACCGAAACGTTGAAATAAAATATTTTTCGGGTGAAAAGCAGTGATTGAGTGTGGGCCAGTGTTGCTCACAACCAATTAAAAAAAACGTTGTTTATGACAATAAAGTAACAGGTGCATTGATGCTCGGCTACTAAAGGCAAATCACGATGTGGATCACATTATTAATTTCATTTTTTATGTATAATATAATAAATGAAGAGCCGAAGGATTTATTGCAATTACATACCAGTATAAAAACCGAGGTCCCCCGAGGTTTTTATAACTGGTATGTAAGGGGTCGTCCGCAATTATCGGAAGTTTCTTCCAATCCGTAGTAGCTTCGAAAGTGGGTGGGTGGGTCAAGGCCAGGAACGGATTGAAAAACTTCCGAAATGACACGTGCGCGTGTGTAAGGGGTCGTCCGCAATTATCGAAAGTTTTTTCCAATCCGTAGTAGCTTCGAAAGTGGGTGGGTGGATCAAGGCCAGTTACGGATTGAAAAACTTCCGAAATGACACGTGCGCGTGCCACGTGTACGTCTACGTGTAGCCCCTGTTTTCCACGCGCGGCTGCGCGCGAACTATACTAGTAACTGTCTACTACAAATATTTTTGTAGTTCTGGCAGTTGCTGCGCCCCCGCGCGCGCTTCCTTGGCTGCTCCTGGGCGCGGGCCGGGGATCATAAAGTTCGGCGCATTCGACGGCGAGTCGACACTTTCTATTTTTGAGTTTCACTGTCTCCTTCGTCCAGAGTACCGTCTTCCATGCACTCCTTTGAAGTCCTTCCGTCTAGCGCTGGCGCTGACGACTGTTATTGACTATGTCCAGACAGGCGACGTTGTTTGGAAAGGTTTGAGGCATTAGTCCCGTTCTATATCCACTTTCAGTTATACATTTTGTCCAAGAGGGTTCTTTGTGAAACTCGAGCTGTATTATGATAGTGCTGCTTGAACATTTCGGTGATCACCAATTAAACATCAATATGGTAGTTGTAATACAATACATGATGTCACTATGACTCATGGACCAGCACTGATTGAGTTTGTTCCATATGTGTTGGGTTGTGTGTCCATCAATAATATTTTATTACGGACTGGGGGTGGGGGGGGGGGGGGGGGGGGGTGGGTGAGGAAAAATTTGAAGCTACTACGGATTGGAAAAAACTTTCGATAATTGCGGACGACCAATAAATTCTGAGGCTACTACATTTATTATGCATATGTTGACCTTCGCTTTCCCTAAAAAGGAGTATTTTATAAACAGTATTTATTGGCCTTAGTGGTATCTTATAAACAGTATTTATTGGCCTTAGTGGTATTTTATAAACAGTATTAATTTTATTGGCCCAAAAGCCAATAAATACTGTTTATAAAATACCACTAAGGCCAATAAATACTGTTTATAAAATACTCCTTTTTAGGGAAAAGTGCAGTGCTGCATGGAAAAGTACAGTGGTATTTATTGAGTCAAGCAAGTTTATTTGAATTTGATACTGTTGATGGTGTGGTCACTAATGAGTGTGGGTATTTATCAAAGGTCGATATATTATAAATTAATTATCATTTTATCAAGGATTCTCCAGAGGCAAATGGATGCCTATCAAAGTGAGTCTCATGGGGGGAAGGAAGGTGGCTGTTATGAGAGAGGGAGGAAGGGACATGACAAGGTGAAAAATAACATGTTTACACAGGGCATGGCTGGTGGAGCGGTGGAGTGACCACCAACCGGGCTAGACGTAAAATGCCTTGTCAGGCCAAAACCCTATCAAAGTCATGTATGCCACCTAGTACCTACGGGTCACTGCTAACCAGCTAAATATACATGTACATGTAAATGCATGGTGGAGATAAGATTTTTTAAATGTTGGCAATAGAGTCACAACTAGCCAGCTAAGATATAAATGGTAGTATTAAAATTTAATACTACCATTTATATTTAATATGATTCAGAAAGTGGTGGACATCACGCAACTGTAAATAAAGGGGGGTTGGAGCGGTTGTCAGTAGACAAATCCCCTTTTATTTATATTAAATATGAAATTGTGGAAATAAGATTAGAAATGATTGGCAGCTGGTATAAACCGTCTGAGAGGGCAAAAGAGGCGATGGTTCGACAAGCTATGATTCACTCAACTTGCTTACAATATAGATGTACATGCACGGTGTGTTTGTGTGTGTGTGTGTGTGTGTGTGTGTGTGTGTGTGTGTGTGTGTGTGTGTGTGTGTATGTATGTGTGTGTGTGTGTGTGTAATTATTATAATGGACATGTTTGTAACGAATGTTTGACTTGGAGTGAACTGCTGTGTATAGCGCATACAGCTAGAGCTGCGTATTGTAGAGAATCTAACAGATTGTAGCTGATCCAGATGCTGTCCACCCAGTAGTCCCCAATAGTGCAAGTAATAATGTAGTTACAAGAGCACTGCATTTCATACAAATCCATTGGTATCGTTGCAACGTTTCGGTCTTTATGACCATCATCAGGAATGAAGTGGATATGGAAAGAACAGCAGTATAAACCTTCTTTTATACTGCTGTTCTTTCCATGTCCACTTCATTCCTGATGATGGTCATAAAGACCGAAACGCTGTAACGATACCAATGGATTTGTGTGAAATGCAGTGCTCTCTTGAGTGTAGGTAGGTTGCCTGCAAACGATTCAAGTATAATGAAGCTGCGTGAAGCGTCCTTCAAAATTTTGAAATGTAGTTATAGTTTAGTTAACTAATATTTTGATCCAGAATACGACACCAACTACTCCACCAACTGCTCCGAAGACGAAAAGACAGAATAAATTCAAACAGTGAGGTCTGCAGCAACCGCCAGCGCCCTCCGACTGAGCATCGGCAAAGCAACTTCCTTCCTCGACATTCCCGATTGCAGACTGACGTGCAGCAGCAAATGATCCTGTGCCAAACAGCAAGGAGGAACACACAACCGGTTAGTTGCTACTCAGTCGACATACCTGGTACAACCAAGAGGTAAACTCTAGCGGCACATGCAGCGCAGAACATGGTGATAGTGAACTGCTATAACCATTGACTCGCTCATCACTAGGACATCTCTCATGCAAACAGGACCACGCATGCATCATACCCTCTATCATACTCTTTATGAACTCTTGGCCCTATACTATGGCCATAGGTGACAAAGGTAATTTCCCAAAACTTTCTTTTTCCATTTTAGACTCCGAAAATAATCACGGTTCGCGTGAGACTCGGCTGGAGGCCGAGTTTTCAGCATCCACAGGAACACCACCACCCTCACACCGCCACCCTCTAGGATCAAGGAACACCACCCTCTGGGATCAAGGCAGGAACGCTACCACCCTCCAGGATCAAGGCAGGAACACCACCACCCTCTAGGATCAAGGCAGGAACACCACCACCCTCTAGGATCAAGGCAGGAACACCACCACCCTCTAGGATCAAGGCAGGAACACCACCACCCTCTAGGATCAAGGCAGGAACACCACCACCCTCTAGGATCAAGGCAGGAACACCACCACCCTCTGGGATCAAGGCAGGAACACCACCACCCTCTAGGATCAAGGCAGGAACACCACCACCCTCTAGGATCAAGGTAGGAACACCACCACCCTCTAGGATCAAGGTGCAGATGCAGCTCCTAAGCGGTTGGAGGTGAGTAGGCCAGACCCACTACAAAGTGGTCAAAGACCAAAAATGCCATACACAGCACCCACGTTTCCCTTCGGCCGCCAGGCCACGGGTACCCAATCAACTGTGGGTCGCAGCACGGCTGGAAAACTCCTTCTGCTCCCAAACAGGACTTGAACCTGGTACCCTGTGTTTCTCAATCATGGTCTTAGACCATCCCACTATGCCTGTCTGTAGGCTCAAGAAGACTCAAAATTCAGAAATAGAAATGACTATAACATTGAGAAGTAGTGAGTACCTGTACGAGTAGTTAGTGTACTATGGTCTACTGTTTGTAGAGATAAGACTGGCGAGTACTAATACCGATACTTGTAGGGGTAAGGGTCATGCGTCGGCCTGGGATGCTTACCTTTCTTAACTCCTCCGCAACCGAATCCACACAAGCAAAGTAAGATTGGCGCTATGAGACAGTAGCCTGCGAACATTCCGGCCAGCGCACCAACAAAGATTATCCACCACGCATTTGTAATCATGATTACCAGCCGGAATATGTGCGCCCCTGATTCGGAAGACACAAGCGATGCTTATCGCGGCCTGGCGGCGTGAACTGGGCAAAACAAGAACGGTCGTTACTGCGGCTCACAACGATTGCTTGACTGCAGCTTCACAGTAGAATCGCCAACGCTCCAACATCACCAGAACTAACACTGCTGTACTACAGACAAACAGCCTGGTATTTGTTGTAACGTTAGCAGCCAGGCATTGGGCGGCGCGGAGGGGACTGAGGTACCGGTACCGAAACCGTTTCGATATCGCTTATCAGCATTTGGCGGTTGGGTTTAGACAGGAGTCTAGTCTGACGTAGAATCTACCATGTACATGTACATGTATACTGTCAGAGCCTCTGCGATGTATGACTTTCGAAATAATCGCGTGACATGAACACATCGCAACAACGGTTATTCATTTTAGTGGCATCCCAGGCGAGTCCCGGACTTCCCTGGCTCGCCCAGGCTACAAAAACGTACAGTCTAGCCATCATAATCCTTTGTCTTGTTGTCAATAATGAAGTAGTTATATAATTATGACATACTAGTACTTCGAAGTAAGTACATCTACCGCTACATACGTACAATGTCATGATGTACAATCATGTAGATCTACGAGTAGTGACTAGTGCAGTCATGGCATGCAAGCCCTGTCAAGTATTTTAGTTGTCATACATGCACATGTCCCGTCATATTGATCTGTTGACACTCATGACTGGTACAAGGCGGGAAACGCACTGTACGTTAACAATTATGCTGTCAACCTTTCATCAAGAGACATGCCATCATCAGTCTAACAAACAAGGATTTAATACATAAAATTAATACAAGTAGTACCGTCATTAGAGCCGAGTACTCGGAGTAGAGGTGCCACATCTCCCCACTACAGACTACAGTGCAGATGTCCCCACTACAGAGTACAGTGCAGATGTCCCCACAACAGACTACAGTGCAGATATCCCCACTACAGACTACAGTGCAGATGTCCCCACTACAGACTACAGTGCAGATATCCCCACTACAGACAGTACAGTGCAGATATCCCCACTACAGACTACAGTGCAGATGTCCCTACTGACTGTACGTGTTTGTAGTATCGTGCAGGCGTGGGATCTCCCGATTTTGTTGATGGCCCTGAAACATCTCCCTACCCCTTCCCCCCCCTCTCTCTCTCTCTCTCTCTCACACACGATCTTCACGAGATCGGATCTTATCGGCCATGGCTGCTGTGTACTGGTCAACAGGAAGACAGCGTTAGTTCAGTCACTGGGTGCGCCACCCAGAACATTCTAGGTTTGCCATGACGTTTAGTCGCTTGGGCACTTTCAATTTTCAAAAGTCCTGTGTACATTTGAGTCCAACATTTCTAGCGCTATCCTAGCTGATAGAGTGGGTCTCTAGGAGTGTTTTGGCACTAGGGTGCCATCTCGGAGCTGGGGCATAAGGGAGCGGCGAGTGGAATACTGCGTGTCCAATTTCCTGTACAATTTAGATCATGTAACCATGGTAACGGCGCTGACTCATTCAAAGACTGGCAGAATTTACGTCGTATTGTTGACTTTCCGAGTTGCCTATGTGACTGTAAAGTACACCAGGCACGCAGATACATTGAATGTTTGATGATAGGATGATGTGGACTGTATAGACCTCTTCAGGTTCCTGAAATATCATACTATTTTTGGTTCAAAGCTAGCTACACACTAGAGCACAATCAGGTATGTACAGTAGAAAGTTACTCCTGTGATTAGTTTATACTATTGCAGAGTTCCATTACTAGATTCAAAGTTCCATAATGTGTGCCAGGATTTTATAGTTTGGTAGTATGTGGCAGGACCTGGTGAAGGCTGTATGTAGCCGCTAATGCAACAATGGACACAACTTTGCGTTTCCATCTTGTCTTTTTTGTGATTGTGATGCTTGATGTGCACTGTGCTTCCTCGCATTCACTTGCTCCTTCTTGCAGCTTGTCTCTTTTTTTCTATTTTTTGTTTTTTTGTTTTTTGTTTTGTTTTGACGCTCTGTGTGCATTGCGCTTCCGAATTCCTCGCGCTCACTTGCTCCTTCTTGCGGCTTAAGGTGGCAGACTACCCAAAAATTCGCTGAAAAATCGAATTTGTAAATTCATATTGAGTGCTACGTCAGTTGAAAGAGCATGAATAGCTGCAAATTCTCTGAAAATTGTGTCCCTATCTGACCAGCCGTTCAAGAGTTATGGCCGAAAATGTGCCCTTGCAAGGAAAGATTTTTTTGTTGCATGCTGTCATTTGTTGGCAGCACTGTATTTGAATGTGAGCAGACCGTGCGCAACTTGTCGTATTATGGAAACACGCGAAAGTGTGCAGAATTTTGCCCCAAGTCCAAAAAGTCCAAAAAATCACGTTAAAAAACCACGTATTGGGCTGCACGGCGCTGCACGGCGGCGGGCGAAGCCCGCCGCCGTGCAGCAGGACTTTTGCCAGCACCCTCGTGACGTTGCAGATATGTGGCTTGATTATTGTAGTTGACGTAACGTCGTTGATTTAGTGACTTTGGCAAGTTTGAGTCGTGTCAAGAAGTCAGGTAGGATTCAGTACTAGGCAGTAGTGAAACGTGAGTGGCAGTCTTTGCCGGTTTCTGAGGGCATCCTGGATTTGGTGTGCAGCGCTGTGGAAATGGCTTGCTGTGGAGGTCCCAGCACTGGATGTTGTATCAAAGGTACGACCTCGTAGCACGTGCTAAACCTAAAAAATTCAAAAATTGACTTGGGTCTGTGGGAGTCCGCGAGAGAACGCCCACTCGTTCCGTTGTGACAGATTCCAGGGCCACGTTGAGGGGCCCTACCCCACCACCCATGGCTGCTTCTGGACTTGTTTTAGGTTTGGGTCCCGCGCACGGACAGAATGGGCACGAAAATGTGAAAAAAATGTAAATGCAATTGTTTGGCTCCTGGGTGGCTCGCACACCGTGGCACTATGCCGGAAATTTGAGTTTTTCCGGCCTGGAAAGCCTGTCAGTGAGGCGCAAGAACTTGTAAATCATGTCCTGAGGGCCAGCATAGTGGCAGGAGTGTGTGGTCAAAATTTCACTCAAATCCACCGAGAAACACCAAAGTTACGGTCAATTGAATGCCATATGAAATTTATGGGTAGGCTGCCCCCTTAAGGTGGCAGACTACCCAAAAATTCGCTGAAAAATCGAATTTGTAAATTCATATTGAGTGCTACGTCAGTTGAAAGAGCATGAATAGCTGCAAATTCTCTGAAAATTGTGTCCCTATCTGACCAGCCGTTCAAGAGTTATGGCCGAAAATGTGCCCTTGCAAGGAAAGATTTTTTTGTTGCATGCTGTCATTTGTTGGCAGCACTGTATTTGAATGTGAGCAGACCGTGCGCAACTTGTCGTATTATGGAAACACGCGAAAGTGTGCAGAATTTTGCCCCAAGTCCAAAAAAGTCCAAAAAATCACGTTAAAAAACCACGTATTGGGCTGCAGGACTTTTGCCAGCACCCTCGTGACGTTGCAGATATGTGGCTTGATTATTGTAGTTGACGTTGATTTAGTGACTTTGGCAAGTTTGAGTCGTGTCAAGAAGTCAGGTAGGATTCAGTACTAGGCAGTAGTGAAACGTGAGTGGCAGTCTTTGCCGGTTTCTGAGGGCATCCTGGATTTGGTGTGCAGCGCTGTGGAAATGGCTTGCTGTGGAGGTCCCAGCACTGGATGTTGTATCAAAGGTACGACCTCGTAGCACGTGCTAAACCTAAAAAATTCAAAAATTGACTTGGGTCTGTGGGAGTCCGCGAGAGAACGCCCACTCGTTCCGTTGTGACAGATTCCAGGGCCACGTTGAGGGGCCCTACCCCACCACCCATGGCTGCTTCTGGACTTGTTTTAGGTTGGGGTCCCGCGCACGGACAGAATGGGCACGAAAATGTGAAAAAAATGTAAATGCAATTGTTTGGCTCCTGGGTGGCTCGCACACCGTGGCACTATGCCGGAAATTTGAGTTTTTCCGGCCTGGAAAGCCTGTCAGTGAGGCGCAAGAACTTGTAAATCATGTCCTGAGGGCCAGCATAGTGGCAGGAGTGTGTGGTCAAAATTTCACTCAAATCCACCGAGAAACACCAAAGTTACGGTCAATTGAATGCCATATGAAATTTATGGGTAGGCTGCCCCCTTAAGGTGGCAGACTACCCAAAAATTCGCTGAAAAATCGAATTTGTAAATTCATATTGAGTGCTACGTCAGTTGAAAGAGCATGAATAGCTGCAAATTCTCTGAAAATTGTGTCCCTATCTGACCAGCCGTTCAAGAGTTATGGCCGAAAATGTGCCCTTGCAAGGAAAGATTTTTTTGTTGCATGCTGTCATTTGTTGGCAGCACTGTATTTGAATGTGAGCAGACCGTGCGCAACTTGTCGTATTATGGAAACACGCGAAAGTGTGCAGAATTTTGCCCCAAGTCCAAAAAAGTCCAAAAAATCACGTTAAAAAACCACGTATTGGGCTGCACGGCGGCGGGCGAAGCCCGCCGCCGTGCAGCAGGACTTTTGCCAGCACCCTCGTGACGTTGCAGATATGTGGCTTGATTATTGTAGTTGACGTTGATTTAGTGACTTTGGCAAGTTTGAGTCGTGTCAAGAAGTCAGGTAGGATTCAGTACTAGGCAGTAGTGAAACGTGAGTGGCAGTCTTTGCCGGTTTCTGAGGGCATCCTGGATTTGGTGTGCAGCGCTGTGGAAATGGCTTGCTGTGGAGGTCCCAGCACTGGATGTTGTATCAAAGGTACGACCTCGTAGCACGTGCTAAACCTAAAAAATTCAAAAATTGACTTGGGTCTGTGGGAGTCCGCGAGAGAACGCCCACTCGTTCCGTTGTGACAGATTCCAGGGCCACGTTGAGGGGCCCTACCCCACCACCCATGGCTGCTTCTGGACTTGTTTTAGGTTGGGGTCCCGCGCACGGACAGAATGGGCACGAAAATGTGAAAAAAATGTAAATGCAATTGTTTGGCTCCTGGGTGGCTCGCACACCGTGGCACTATGCCGGAAATTTGAGTTTTTCCGGCCTGGAAAGCCTGTCAGTGAGGCGCAAGAACTTGTAAATCATGTCCTGAGGGCCAGCATAGTGGCAGGAGTGTGTGGTCAAAATTTCACTCAAATCCACCGAGAAACACCAAAGTTACGGTCAATTGAATGCCATATGAAATTTATGGGTAGGCTGCCCCCTTAAGCGAAGGCTATATGTGAGCTTTATAAGCTCACTGATGCTAACGCGAATAGAGCATAATAATAATAATAATAAGTATGAGTCCGTGATGATGCCCGAGCACTCAGTGTGGCATGACAAATCGGCAAATCACGAAGTACAGTTGGAAACCGCCTTACTGCCATCAAACAATCATCTCGTTATAACACAATCAAGCCTGTCTACCTCAGATAAGCAAGTGTCTTAGTACACTGTTCTTGATATCATAGGTGTCCTCAGTCATGGGACATTTGGTGATTATAAAAAGCACACAGCAAATGTTTAAAACCGGCACCTAAGAAATCACGGGATGGCCCACGCCTGTTATTAAAAATACACCAAAATGATAAGAATTCTCAAGACAGAGACCAATGCGCAGCAACACGTACACATACAGTGTTTGCATTTGAGCTGCAATTGCAGCAGTTGGCACTGATTGTCAGTAACACTCTGTTAACAAGTTACGGCCGCGAGATACATGTACATGTATATAGCAAGGAGCATGACTTCATGCCTGGCGTCGCGGGTCACAAGAGAAAACCCGAGCATTAGAAATAATATTAATACACAATGAGAGGCTTTGGGATGCGTCTAGGCAATGCAGTGTAGCCATTCACTGTGGAGAGAGGAGTCAGTGACTGCTATACTAGGTTGTCGTGCACGGGTGACTTATAACCTAGTTACTTGCAGTGACAGTATCGGTAGGACTAGTAAGTATGCTGGCATAACCTGTACAGGCAAACAGTAGAAATAGCATGGAACATGACCAGGTACAAGTGCACAGCGAACATACTGAGGCGCGCTGTCGAAAAGCACGATGGAAGTGGTTGACCTGGAATGTTCTGTTGGGGACTGCCAGCTACACTTGGTTGAACGCAGCTCACTTCCCCGGTGTAAACACTGTAAGCCAACACACACAAATACATGACCTGTCTCAGCACCAAAGGAAACATCTGCCAGGCACAGAACGCGTTCACGCAGAAGATCTGTGATGGCGTGATACTTCTATGTACTATGGAAGGCTATGCACACATATCCTGATGTAGACTATCTTACAGTATGTTGTTGTGTGGAGACTTTGACTGAGTCACATTCCGACATAGTATGTAGCGTGTAGGCCGGGCAGAACCAGTCCGGTTGACCGGACCAACTAGTCAGTTGGCCGGTTTCTCAAAAAGTGCTCGTTTCTGATTTCCTGTGTCGATTTGAGTCCAACATTTCGTGGGTGGTTGGACGTGTTGGAGATCGGCAGGACAAACAATTTCGCGCTTGGGTGCCTTTTCTGCGTTGGGGCTGCAGGGAGTTACGGCGACTTGTCCCGCCTTCGAGAGTTTGCTCACACCCTTCAACCTAGTGCCTCTCGTCCTGCAGCCACGCCCGTTCACTTGTCTCCTGACCTCCAGACCTGTACTCACGTCTTCGTCCGGAATGAGAAACGTCGTTCTCTGGAGCCACCGTACGACGGCCCCTTCCCTGTTCTCCGGCGGTCTGATAAGTACTTTTCCGTTGATATCCGTGGCACCACTCGGGTCATATCGATTGATCGTTTAAAGCCTGCCCATCTGCCAGTGCCTGCTAGTTCTGCTCCGCTGACTGCAGCCCCTGTCCATGTTGTGAAGCGAGTCCATTGGCATTGATCACTTGCCATATCTGCCATGTTCTCCGGTCATTCCTTTCTGTTCTCTCTCCTGTTCTCTACATCTACTCCTAATCTCATTCTTACTCTCTCTTCCTCTTGCCTTGATATTCTTTTAGGGGGGAGGTACTGTAGTGTATCCACTCCAAACCCCATGGAGATTTCCGTCAAATTTGTCTAAATCGCAACTTGTACTCTTGACCTTTCCTTACTTTTTGGTCCCGTATATCCATAATCACTCTACTCTAGTTTCTGCCGATCCCGCGTACCCGCGCGCGGTGTTCTCACGCACCGTATTGCGTGGTACGATAATATTGTTTTACATGGAAGCTACCTTGCTTGGACCAACAGTGTACAATCATGCACAACACACAGCCATGAAAAACTTACAAGTAACTACCTGACACTTGACTAACATTCACACTTGAAACATACTTAGGGAAATCAAACAGGCCTTACCGTGACCAGAAATCCATGGAAAGCTGATGTTCAGCAGTTATTCCGCGATCTCGTGGGAGGGGTTGTCAACATCATCAGTTTGACCATCTTCATCATCAGCACTGTCTTCATTGTCTCCATGAAGTGTAGGTGCTGCAAGCACTTCGGACACAGCATTGTGCGGATTCGCGCAGGGACTGCATTGGCATGCATCGGTGCAAGAAATGGAGGACTGTAGGCATGAGCACCGGCGCGTTGAACATCCAGTGGCGCAGGCACACCGGATGATCGCCATCAGCTCTGGTGGTGCAGGAGGAAGAAGACCCCACATGATCATGACATTAGAGTCGTCTACCCTCCATCCATGATCACTGATGCTGGGTAGGTCTGGGGATGCGACCAGTGCCCGTTTCCACACACCAGCCTGGTAGTTGGCCCGTTTGACGTGCTGCTCCAAGCTATCGGCGCATGGTGGGAGCTGAGCAGGGGGTGGGGACCGAGAGCAGAACGCCTTGTACCTGGCCTCGTTGATGCTCTCGAGTTCAGGGTGACCGTAAAGGTGGCAGACATACTTGTGGCAGAAATGCTCAAGGCAATGAAGGCCAACGCCCAAAACCTAATGTGTGCCATTTTAGTCGTCCAAGACGGCGGCCAGCTAGTAATTGTCCTACTGGTGGAAAAAGTAACAAACAAACACTACTTGACCTGCTGCACCACCGCACACCACCGCACACCACCGCACACCACCGCACACCACCGCACACCACCGCACACCACCGCACACCACCGCACACCACCGCACACCACCGCACACCACCGCACACGGCGACAAGCAAGCGACAAACTGTAACTGATGTACTAGTACTGCACAAGGATTATACAGCTCAGGCTTTGTGGTATAGAACTTCGCCGCAAGTTTCTCTATCAAGATTTCCGATCGACATCCAAGTGTCATCTCTCTTCGTCTCAGCTGCATTCCATAGGGTAGTCCAGGTAGTCTCCGTCAAGCGCTTGAGAGGCTGATGAGCAGGAAAATTCGGGTTGTGACAAATGCATTTCACTCCTTCACCTGAAGCCGCGCCAAGGAAACAGTTTCCAGCCCCAAATCGTCTGCCATGTCGAACAAGACAACTCACAACAGGAATCATAAACACTTGCACCTTCTTATCTGCCATCTACCTGTCTAGGTTGTCGGACAGATCGGCAAAGAAACTTAGAGAGGCCATGCGATCGGCATTGGATGAAAGCAAAAACACAATTGTCGAACCAGTCAAGTAAGTTTGAAATTTAGTCGTGGGCGGACGTCATCATCCTTTTCACTTGCGCAGAATTCGCATATGCGTGTTTTGAGCATGCGCTTAATTTGCACAGTGTTCGTCTTCGTAATCAAACAAGTCGCCGTAACTCCCTGCAGCCCCAACGCAGAAAAGGCACCCAAGCGCGAAATTGTTTGTCCTGCCGATCTCCAACACGTCCAACCACCCACGAAATGTTGGACTCAAATCGACACAGGAAATCAGAAACGAGCACTTTTTGAGAAACCGGCCAACTGACTAGTTGGTCCGGTCAACCGGACTGGTTCTGCCGGGCCTACACGCTACATACTATGTCGGAATGTGACTCAGTCAAAGTCTCCACACAACAGTGACGGTACTGTAGCCAATAATATAATAAATACGTGTGTTTATGACAATGGGTAACAGGTGCATAAATGCTCGACTACTTAGGCAAATCACAGAGTAGAGGACAGGCTCACACAGGGCAGGATGGTGCAGCGGTGGAGTGCCTGAACACACCAAACTTCACACTCCCAATCATGACCACCAACCGGGCTAGAGGAAAAACGCCTTGTCAGGCCCAAACCCGATCAAAGTCATGTATATTGTATGCCACCTATGCCTACGTGTCACTGCTAACCAGCTAAAGATAAATGGAGGAAGTAAGATTAAAAGAAAAAAAGATTCGCAATGCACAGCTATTTTTTAAAACCAGCTATTATGATCATAAAATGGTAGTAATAAGAAATTGTGGAAATAAAATTAGAAATGATGGGCAGCTGGTATAAACCGTCTCAAAGAGCAAAAGAGGCAACTGTTACACTAGCATTGATGCACTCAACTACCGGTACTTGCTTACAATGTACATGTACAATGTGTGTGTGTGTGTGTGTGTGTGTGTGCGTGCGCGCGTGTGTGTGTGTGTATGTGTGTGTGTATGTGTGTGTGTGCGTATGTGTGTGTGTATGCGTGAGTGTATGTGTGTGTGTGTGTGTGTGCGTGTGTGTATGTGTGTATGTGTGTGTGTCACTGTGTGCGTGTGTGTATGTGTGTGTGTGTGTGTGTGTGTGTGTATGTGTGTGTGTGTGTGTGTGTGTGTGTGTGTGTGTGTGTGTGTGTGTGTGTGTGTGTGTGTGTGTGTGTGTGTGTGTACGTAGCAAAGTAAGTGAGACTAGGACTGAGCTGAAGGTTCTTTCAAAACATCTCAGTACATGACAGACTGATTGTATCCATGCTCAATAAGCTCGCAGTGCAGGGTTCGTCTCATGGTTTGCCTCCGCGAGTATGCCAACTTCTCAGTGGGTTATGTCACTATGCTGGCTTATCACAGGATTTTCTCAGTGTGCCGAACGGGCTTGTCAGTTAAAGTTAACATACGCACCAACTAGTCCACCAGTTACTCCGAAGACGATAAGACAGAATATATTCCAGCAGTGAGGACTACAGCAACCACCAGCACCCTCCGACTGAGCATCGGCAAAGCAACTTCCTTCCGCGACATTCCCGATTGCCGACTGACATCCAGCGGCACAAGATCCTGCGACAAACAGCAAATAAACACAAGCATTTAGTTTCTACTTCGAAGTACTCAGCCGACATTCAAGTACAACCTAGACGGTGGTCAGGAAAGGAGCCCCCGGCCACACATGCATGATGACAGTACAGCATTCCCGCATTGAAATGTAGCAGCAGTATGCTGCGTCCACGGCTTCGCTAGTGCTGAATGGTTTGGGAGAGAGGAGAGGGGAGAGAAAGCAGTCAGGTAATGGACACCTAACACATGTTCATGTTTGTGGCAATAAAATCATTTTGAGAATCATTGACTCACTCACTAGGACATCTCTCATGGAGACATTAAGGATCACACGTGCATCGTACCCTCTATCATACCCTGCATCATGCCCTGTATGAACTCTTGCCCGGCCCTATACTTACTAGCCTACAGGTAATTTCCAAAAATGTCTATTTTCATTTAGGCTCTAGAACACCCAAAATTCAGAAATAGCAATGACTATCATGCAACAAGAGTACATAACCCCCCCCCCCTCCCTCCCTTGCCCCTCCCCTCCCCCTCCCCCCCCGGGGGGTTAGATGTATGTACTCTTGATGCATACTGCCATGACTCATACTTGAGTCATAGAGAGTGTCGCCTGTACTGTCGAAAGCCTCTTTCGCGGGCAAAATAGACACAATGAATGAGTGTCTGTACTAAGTCTGTCGTCTACTGTTTGTAGAGACTGGCTAGCAGCAATAGGGCTTGAAAGTGTTACGTCACAGCATAGCAACAATTTCAAAAATTCAAAAACTGGATCCACTTGGATCCAGTTTTTGTATGGATCCAAGCACATTTCAAGCCATCTTACTCACAGCAAGGTGATGTAGCCAGTGAAACTGACTGATTTGGCTACTGGGGGCGGGGTTAGAACTGGTGGCGAAGTAAAAGTCACCCCTGCATACGACATGAGTGGGTTGCTATGCACCCATAATCCATATACTGAGGCAATAGCAAAGTCACACCTTAGTGGATCCAAAATAGAAATCTGATGTCAACTTAGTACTCCCTGAACGTTTTTGACGTCATCACTTTCAAGCCCTATACTAACTAATACGTGTAGGGGAAAGGGTCATGCGTAGCCTACTAGGCCTGGCGTTCTTACCTTTCGTAACTCCTCCACAACCGAATCCAACACAGCAAAGCAAGATTGGCGCTATGAGACAGTAGCCTGCGAACATGCCGGCCAGCACACCCACAAGGATTATCCACCACGCATTCACCATGATTACCACCCGGACTATGTTCGCCTCTGATTCGGAAGACAGAAGTCGATAACTATCGGCCTGGCGGCGTGAACTGGGCAAAACAAGAACGGTCGTTAGCTGCGGATCACAATGATTGCTGGAATAAATGCAGCTTCGGAGTATTTATACCCTCCCGGCATACATGTAGATGGGGGCAACGGGTAGATCTATCTGTACGGAAACACTTTTGTCTTTCGATCATTACTCGACATCAGCCTTGACTTCCGTTGAGAGTCTTGAGACAGCTAGTACTATAATTATAGTACTACCTACCTACACGGCTACAGCCGGCCCCCACAGGAGTCTCAGATACCATGGATACCGATACTCATTGTACATGTACAATGACATGATTGACAGATCATACTGTGACATACATCATACGCGATGCATGACTTTCGATTGTGTGACATGAAAACGTATTTATTTACTGTCGTTGTAGCGGAAAATGTGGTATCGCGGGCTAGTCCCTGAATCCCCCAGACCACGCCAGGCTACAAAAACGTACACTTGACTCGTCTACCTGTTGTCATCTACTGCATGCTACGCATAATATTATTTTATTTTTATGTCAATCGACATGTAGATCTACATTGTACCTACGTGTACCTGTGTAGTACTCATGATGAGTCATGGTACTGGTATGTACATCATGTTGATCGGTTGACATAATTCGAACTAGAGGCGGAGGATCGAGGATGCACTGTAACCATGGTAACAATCATGCTGTCAACCGGTCAACATGATTGTCCCCAACAAGAATTACGTAACTTTTATAACATGTGACTCGGACAGCAGCAATGACATAACCAAGTCCTTTTCTGCCGTTACTCAGACTAGCATTCACTAGAGTAATGATACATGTACATGTACATGTAGGGAGGGGTTCAGATCTAGAGCTAGAGCTAGAGCTAGAGCTAGAGCTAGAGGACAGGTGATGGAGGTACAACATTTCAATAGCGCCAGGAAGAGGAGGAGGCGAAACAAATCAGCCTGTTGATACCGTATATTCTCTATTATAAGCGCCGTGCTTATATTTTTTCAACACCCCTCTGCCCCTTGCTTATATTATTGGAGACCGCGCTTATATTGGAGACCGTGCTTATATTTTTTCAACCAATGCATCCATACAGAGCGAGAAGAAATACATGCTAGATATCATGCATGCAGCATTGATTTCCACCAAGACCGTGCTAATAATATAGACTGTGCTTATAATGTTTCGAAAGGTGCTCACAGTGTGCTAGTATTAGAGACTGTGCTCGTAATGGAGACCTGTGCTTATAATAGAGAATATACGGTATGCGATACGTAATATCTGTTTCAATTTATTATTATAGGGTACCTCACTTCAAACTCTCCAACTACGGTCTCTTCGCTGCATATGTTCACTTCACTTCCAAAAAAAACAAATAATATTAGATATAAATTGAATGCACCAAATTTTCGGGCATGAAACCACCCTTTTTCAGGGTGAAAAAGAAAACCATTCAACTAAAGCCAACAAAAACTGAAACGAGTATATATGCTGTGTGGTGCGGTAGTGCTGGAAATCTTTGTATGTGTGAAGGGTAGCAGCAATGGTGAAGTGTGTTGGTAAAAAGGGAAGGAGCGAAAGAGACCAGTGGAGAGCTGTGTCTGTAAGTGTGAATATGTGTTAGTGCGATGTGAAGGGAAAGCACGAGAAGTGTGGTTACCAGCAGCAATGGTGAAGTGTGTTGGTAGAAAGTGAAGGAAGAAGTGAAGGAAGGTGTGTGAATGGCTGCAATGGAGTCTGCGAGTGCTTAGAAAAATTTATTATTAGTTTAATCAAACTGATTTTTGTACATGTACATTGATTCGCTTGATCGGATTCAGTGAACAGCATTGAAACTGAGTCTGCGCTAACAACCAGCTTCATTATCGAAATGGAAACTGTTGCGATCATTGCACGCTAAACTAATCCTCGGATCCTCCTGTGTGTTCGTGAACCCGGTACTCGGCAGTAGTAGTGGGGGTTCCCCCGGGGCTTGCACTGAATTATTACAACAGGTGCTCGAAGCCCTGAATGGTGAAATGGAAACCATTAGTCATTACGAGCCAAGTAACGTAGCGAATCGTCGGATATGCGCATACATAATTATGCTGCATGACAGACACATAACGTCATTGTAGTAAATCTACATGTACATGTACATGTACTACAGCTGTACAATCTTTAGTAGGACGGTCACCAGACTCACCAGACTCACCACCTTACGTGACCTAGCTATTACTTCTAAGTCATTGCGTAATCTCGGACTCTAGAGGAGGGCTGGTTCTCTTCCACCACAGTACTAGGAGATGAACGTATGCATGTATGCCAACAGCAAGGTATACCGGTATGTACAGGTGCTGGCTGCACACATATTGGCACTGACTGGTTGTCTAGTGGTACATCACGGGTACATGAATGAATGAATCATTGCAGCATGGCTCCCCCCCCCCCCCCCCCCCCCTGTCAACAGGGATTCCTACATGCATGTAAAATTTGGTGATATCACCACAACAACGAGGGGCATGATGGTTTCCAAAATCGCTTTTCACGTCATATTCATTCATTGTGGCTGAAGGTTATCCATGCAAAACCAAAGGATAATACATTCTATATCGACTGTGTAAAAAGCATAAAAGGTTTTTCTCATGACGTGGAATCCAAATATCCCTTGATATCAAACTGACGACAGAACACTCACATATAGAGCGAGACGTCTTCCACACGAATGGAAGACTGCAGCAAAGACATATCAACCGTGTCACTGAATGGCAGGAACTGAACTGTTTTGCCGGCGGGAAGGAGAAGAAGAGCATTGTCACTGAAGCGACCAGCAGCCAATGTAGTTACAGTTACATACATAGCTACATGATCTGTTGTAAGATGAATATCAACACTGCCTCCAGGATTCTTGGAACCTACCGACACCTTCACGTTAGCTTGGAGTAACTTCATCTTGTACGGCTCAGTCAGTGGAATAACATTGTCACACACTACTTCCTTGTCAGCATTCATAATGGTGGCTGTGATGACTTGATCAGCAGGATTGATCTTGGAGAAGTCCACTTGAATCCACTCGGTGACACCAGGTCCAGTAGCCAGACTCAATGTTTTACTTTCAAGCGTTGTCACTTGTGCATTTGCGAATGCAACGGCTGAAATGACCAAGGTGCCGCTGAACGCTTTAGCAATGTCATTCTTGACATAACACAGGCCATCACCGCCACAAGCAACTGTTACATCCGTGAAGATAGACTGGCGATAGAAGTAATGCAGAGGTTTCCATCTTCCACCGATGACTTGTCCTGGTCTTGGTGTACCATACTCTATGCTACCCCAACCACCAGTAGGCCAAATCTCATTGTACTGCCACACAACTATGCCAAACTGGTTGGTAGAGCGGCGTGTTTCAATGTTACTCTTGATTACCAGTGCCTGTCCAAGGATGCAATGGTAGAGCTGCTGCTTGAAGATGGCCTCGCCGACACTATCCAGTTTGTCGTTCTCTCCGAAATACACTTGTATGATATTGTCACATGCGTAGTTCCTCTCCGCCATTGGGTTGTTGCCAGAGCAACTATGGCCAGTGCAGTTATCCGGGGGCAGTCCGGCATGCACACCCCAGTGACTGGGATGGAGGGTAGGCGACATCGACTCAAACGAACTGAATACCGAGCAGCCAAACTCCGATGCAAAGACATTTTGTAGAGTAACACCGGTGTCTATTTGGCTCACCTTGATGGGGATGTTGGAGGGGAAGAGAACCAGCTTGCTGTCGCCATTGACGGAAGGAAACCCACCGCCATGTTGATACGGACCGTGAGTTTCAATAGACCTTGCATCGTTAGGTGTAGTGAGAACGTCACCAGTGGGTGTAGCGTCCAGTGCATGAACTCCAGTTGTCCAGCCGATAGCCGGACACGATGGCCAGATTGGTCGTGATTTGTCTTCTTGCATGACAACCGTCATGACAAACGTAGCGTAGATACCGGTGGCTGTTCCCATCTTGACGCGACATTCATTGCAGCCGTCCCAGACAACGATGCAGGGGTGGTGAGACAGGCGGCGGATCTGGTGACGAAGCTCGGCATCCTGGATAGAGTCATTTCTAGGCGAGTGCCCTTGCTGTGCATACTGCATATCATGATAGACCATGATACCAAGGCGATCACACTCATCGTACCAGATGTCAGGTAGGAATATACCACCACCCCACACACGTAACATGTTCATACGACCATCAACGGCACTCTGGACCAGACGGGAGAACGCCACTGGATTCATACGCCCCTCCAGCTCCTCCATCGGAATCATGTTGGCACCGCGGTTAAAGACGGCTGCACCGTTCACCCTGAAGAACATTCCTTGCTGACCGGTGGTTTGTGATGTGGACGCATTCTTCACGTAACCTGCGTCTGTGTCATTTCCAGTAACCAGGGCAACGTAACGGAATCCAATTTGTCGTGTCGATTTGACGGCGATTGTACCGGCACCGCTTGGTTCATAGTATGCTGTGATAGTGTAGAGGCTCTGGTTTCCCAGTCCCGCCGGCCACCATAACGAGATGTTCTTTGCAGAGGCTCGGAGTGTGAGTGTACGCTTCACACTAGTACCGGCGTACAGGAACACCTGCAGCTCCGCAAACGCACCCCATTCAGTGTAGATATTGAGCACACCACCACTGTCCTGGGGAACGTGGAATACAACCGTCACGTTCACAATGAAGTCACCGTGTTTATGTGCAGCCAATGGCTCTGTCGGGTAAGGTCCCGTGTAGAAGATCTCAGGGACAATGTGTTCAATGGCCACGCTCCCAAAGTCGATTGACAGCAGATACACGCTCTTCCAAATACCGCGTGTGAATGTTCTTGCACCCGTGGACGCCTCAGCAGTGGTGGAGTATGGCGCCCAGTCCCAGCCACCTGTACAGGCCATGAAGCGACCCGCTGTGTCAATGGTTGAGTCGAACGACACAACAAGACTGTTATTGCCCTGAAAGACTTGCAGTTGTTTGTTGTACACGGCCTGTCCCAATGAGAACTTGTATCTCAAAAACTGGTCCACAGCAGTGCCCAGCGGATACCCGTTGAGATAGATGTGTGCGCCCATCTTGATCCCATCAAACACTAGAAGAATGTCAGTCCCCCATTTGGCAAACGTCTGTATGTTCTGCACATCAAAATCGCTGAATGTGATGGTCTTGGTGTAGTTCCACGCCCCGAAACCCCACAGGGTGGCGTTCTTGAAGTTGAGTTCGTACAGCGGATCACCCACTTTTCCAGCCATCTCCAAGTCAGTGGTCAAATCTCCAGGAACCGTGGCATTAGGTAGGGTGATAGTGTTGCCTGCTAGCCAATGCGGGGTACATGCCACATGGCCTGACTGACTGGACGGAGAAAGTAAGTCCTGTGCTGTTTTGAAATAGCATTTGGACGAGTGGAACACACCGGATGCACAGCCAGCCATTTCTGAACAGAGACTGCAACATTCCTCTTTGCTTGTCGCAGCTTGACTACTAGTACTCCCGCTGGAGAGAGCATGGTTGTAGTCGATATTCTCTTCGAAGTTGCAACCATTGAAATCACCTCGTGTCTGCCCGATTGCGGTCCACGTTCCGTCCAAATAACTAGCATAGTCACCTGCTAATGGTATATCTCTCAGATCCGCAGCGTTAGCACAAACCAACACTGCGAGCAGAAGAAGCAAACGCTGTCCTGAGCGGCGCTCATACATCTTTCAAATTTTCAACCGCTGGAAACGACATTCAGCCACCCTCACCAACTGCCGTCAGCAAACGACAACAAATACCTCAGAAGTACACCAAGCAGTGTCAGTAGTGAAATGTACCTCCTACTCAAAGTACGTTTTGCGCAGCTTATTCATTTGTCAAAATGGGATCACGCCTCCCCGCGGATCCGACTGACAGTGACACTGGCAAGAGTCACAAGACCCTTTTTTTGTGTTTCAAACCCTCCGCATCATAGCGCTGTCAATTTCCATGATTGTTTTGCCGGCACATAATAATAATTACCATGTTCAAACAGGTCTAAAGTTATTTTACACCAACCAGCATCACACCACAACTGTGCTCTTCCGCCACAGAACACCATCATCGAAAACCACACTTCTGTTGGTACTCAGTTCCTTCATACAGCTGTGTCGATCATCAAGATCGCGTCCGTGAAGGTTGATATTAGGGAGGTTTAGTCCCACGTAATCCGTGGGTACTTTACGTGGGTGTACCACGTGATACTCAGTGACCCACGTACAGACGTTTTCTGATTCACGACATACCGTGTATGGAGGCTCACCCACGTTCCGCCAGAACGTGGGTGAAAATCAGAATGGAGCGCATTGTGCGAGCTGTGAGGGTGCTCAGCTGAAGAAGTTTCCGAAGCACGAAATCAAAATATTGGATGAGCTTCTTAGGCCGGAGTAGCTTCGTCTTTGACCAGGTTTTGGCCTTTAGCTTCATGCTTTTGTTTGTTCCGTGTGACTAAACACAACATTGCAACGTGGGTGCCCTTCATCCACTTTACGTGGATCACCCACGTACGCGTTTCCGTTACGTGGGAACTAAACCTCCCTAGTATCATTATTATTATTATTATGACGGATAACCCAAAGGCAATGGTACCTAAATCAGGGGGTGGCTCCGGACCAAACACAGAGCAAGGAGCTCAGCCAGCAGAAAACGTCAGAAAACAAATAAACAAAAACAGGAAGCCTGGGATGTCAGCCGCATCAACCTTCAATGACGAGATCTCAGTGATTATATGCTGTGGTAATTACTTGTCGAGGTCGGCAGGAGAGCACACTGGTGGTGTGGTTGTTACATAATTGTTCAAGACAAAGGTCTGCTGCATCCCCTCATTGCCGGAATAGGTCTAAAGTTACCGACTCATGCACCATGTGAAGTATAATTATATTGACTCGTGCACCATGTGAAGTATAATTATATTGACTCGTGCACCATGTGAAGTATAATTATATTGACTCGTGCACCATGTGAAGTATAATTATATTGACTCGTGCACCATGTGAAGTTTAATTATATTGACTCATGCACCATGTGAAGTATAATTATATTGACTCGTGCACCATGTGAAGTATAATTATATTGACTCGTGCACCATGTGAAGTATAATTATATTGACTCGTGCATGTGTCACAGGAGGTATTTTGACTTAGTCACTAGCACTATGCAGTTTACCAACAAGCTAGACTGAAACACATGGCACATTCAGTCATTGAGACGTACACAAACATCCATGCTATGCGCTACACGACAGCCAGGATACACACCGTAATGTTCTCCAGCTCTCAAGGAAAGCTGCCATGCACACCTGATAAAGCCGCCCTATTCCTCTTCATGAACTGTTGACGGAGACACCGTTGATCTAGGCCAAGGCCTGTGGAGAATCCATGAATATAAATGTAAATACAATACAATACAAGAGTGTCGCAACACAATCTGCATGGTCAGAAACGCATAAATTGATAAAAAGATGAATGAAGGACACAGATCAAATGTGAAGACTCGAATAGATCCGATGATGCACCTGATGTGAATTTATCTATTGTTCTAACTGCAACTGATATCCAAACTGAAGCGAGAGACAGAGCAATGTCAATCACGTACACGTATTCACATATAAAGCGAGATGTCTTCCACCCGAATGGAAGACTGAAGCAAAGACATATCAACCGTGTCACTGAATGGCAGGAACTGAACTGTTTTGCCGGCGGGAAGGAGAAGAAGAGCATTGTGACTGAAGCGACCAGCAGCCAATGTAGTTACAGTTACATACATAGCTACATGATCTGTTGTAAGATGAATATCAACACTGCCTCCAGGATTCTTGGAACCTACCGACACCTTCACGATAGCTTGGAGTAACTTCATCTTGTACGGCTCAGTCAGTGGAATAACATTATTACACACTACTTCCTTGTCAGCATTGGTAATGGTGGCTGTGATGACTTGATCAGCAGGGTTGATCTTGGAGAAGTCCACTTGAATCCACTCGGTGACACCAGGTCCAGTAGCCAGACTCAATGTTTTACTTTCAAGCGTTGTCACTTGTGCGTTTGCGAATGCAACGGCTGAAATGACCAAGGTGCCGCTGAACGCTTTAGCAATGTCATTCTTGACATAACACAGGCCATCACCACCACAAGCAACTGTTACATCCGTGAAGATAGACTGGCGATAGAAGTAATGCAGAGGTTTCCATCTTCCACCGATGACTTGTCCTGGTCTTGGTGTACCATACTCTATGCTACCCCAACCACCAGTAGGCCAAATCTCATTGTACTGCCACACGACTATGCCAAACTGGTTGGTGGAGCGGCGCATCTCGATAGTTGTCTTCATGTTCAATGCCTGCCCAATCATGCACTGATAGAGTTGCTTCTTGAAAGCGATCTCGCCGACGTCGTTGAACGTGTCATTTGAGTTGAAGTATGGGTAGATAACAGAGTCACAGGGGTGGTTGCGTTCGCTCATTGGGTTCTTGCCTACACACACTGTGCGGGTACAGTTCTCCGGTGACATTCCACCATGGATTCCCCAGTGCTTTGGGGACAGATTAGAAGACATCGACTCAAACGAGCTGAACACCGAACAGCCAAACTCCGACGCAAAGATGTTCGGCTGATCCACTCCCGTGATGGCTTTGCGGAACGTAGCCGGAATCCCGGAAGGAATTATCTGCATCTTGGCACCGCTGTTAGTAGTGATGAAGCCACTGCCAATCAGGTATGGTCCATGTGTTTCGATGGTACGGTGTGACGATGGGGTGATGAGAGCTGCTCCTGTCGGCGATGAGTCAAGAGCATGAACTCCCGACTGCCAACCTGCGGCCGGGCATGATGGCCAGACTGGACGAGATTTGTCCTCTTCTGCCACCACTCTCAGTACAAACGTGACATAGATAGCCGTGGGTGCCCTCATGTTCACGCGACATTCATTACATCCATCCCACACGATGATGCTGGGGTGAAAGGCCAGGCGCCGGATCTGATAGCGCAACTCGTTCTCGTTGGTGCTGTCTTCGACGGGGGAATGTCCTTGCTGGGCATACATCATATCATGATAGACCATGATACCAAGGCGATCACACTCATCGTACCAGATGTCGGGTAGGAATATACCACCACCCCACACACGTAACATGTTCATACGACCATCAACGGCACTCTGGACCAGACGGGAGAACGCCACTGGATTCATACGCCCCTCCAGCTCCTCCATTGGAATCATGTTGGCGCCGCGGTTAAAGACGGCTGCACCGTTCACCCTGAAGAACATTCCTTGCTGACCGGTGGTTTGTGACGTGGACGCATTCTTCACGTAACCTGGGTCTGTGTCATTTCCTGTTACCAGGGCAACATAGCGGAATCCGATGCTTCTTCCGTCGGTGACAGCTTCATTTGAACCTTTCGGTGTGAAGGATACATTGAGAAGATACAGTGTCTGATTGCCTAAACCGGCAGGCCACCACAGGGAAATGTCTTTAGCTGATGCCGTAAGGGTCACAGTTTGACGAACGTCACTGCCCGCTGGCAACGAGACATTAACCGTGACCGATGTCTGCATGCCCCACTGTCCACGTACCTGCAGTGTACCATCACTAGCCCGTGGTACATTGAAGAGCACGGTCACATCCACTTTGAAGTCGGCGTGCTCATGAGCCACCAACGGCTCGGTCGGGTATGCACCGGTGTAGAATATCTGCGGTACAATGTGTTCAATGGCCACGCTCCCTGCGGCCACCGTCACCAGGTACACACTCCTCCATATTCCACGTGAGAATGTGTGGTATCCCGGTCCAGATGACATGCTATACGGTGCCCAGTCCCAGCCGCCCGTACATGCCATGAACCGGCCATTGGTATTTATATCCGAGTCAAGAGACACAAGCAATGCATTGCTGTCGCCTGCACTGACACTCAATCCTGTGTCTCGCATTGCCTGGCCTAACGAGTAGTTGTAGCGCAGAAACTGATCGGTGGTGATTCCCAGTAGCTGTCCATTCAAATAGATCCTCGCTCCCATCTTGATACCGTCAAACTGCAGAATCACATCACTACCAGCACTGGTGTAGCCAGCGATGTTCTTTACATCCTCTTCAGTGAAGTTGATTCTCTTCGTGTAGTTCCATACGCCGTACGCCCACAGCGAATCATTCTTGAAATTCATCTCGTACCACGGATCGCCGATCAACCCGCCATTCTCCAAATCCGTGATCAGATCACCAGGTACAGCACAGTTGGGTACTGTGAGAATTTCTCCAGATTCATTGCGTGTCCGCTTGCACGCAACTGCACCGGCAAACTGGCCAGGCTTGTCTATATCGGCGGGACTCTTGAACCAGCAGCGGTTCTGAGAGAAAACGCCCGCAGCACACACCGGTGTCCGCTCAGCACACAGTCTACAGCATTCGGACTGGTTGCTGGCGTAGGCACTACCCTCCTGCTGTTCGCCGTGATTGTAATCAATACCTTCCTGGTAGTCACAGACCCGAGACCAGGGTCCTGGCGTCTCGTGAGTTGCAATCCAGTCTGCTCCGTCCAAGAGTGCATGCGATGAACCTTGAACTCGAAGATTATCAAGTGCAAGCTCTCCAAGTGTCGGGACGACCACACTCACGAAGCACACCACAGCCACAATCAGCGGCTTCAACATCAGCTTGTGTCGGCCACCCATATTGTACGTGTCCCTCCCTGGCTGGATGCAGCGTGCACTGAAAGCCCTGTGGCCGGAATGGATTTGGGCTTGTTCTTTACCAGAATATCGGAACGAACAAATTCCTTACGAGCTCACCGAGTGCTAATAGCTCACGATTCAAAGACAAGAGCAGTTCAAAGACAAGAGCGGTTCAAAGCAGGTTGAAAACTTGAAAGCCAGTGCAACTGTTTGTACATGTATGCCGCTAATCTCTTGCACTGATCTCCACGCCTAGCAGTAGCCGCTACGTGCTTAGTCTTTAGCAGCTGCTAACCTATTTGGATAATTTCATTCGATCATGTGCGGAAAAATGGTGTGGATCTTCGCATTCAGCATTACGTTCTGTGGCAAAACAAGTAATCGGCAAGGTAAATTTATAATCAGTCCTCATTTTTCTGCGCTGGTGACAGTACAGTCCGGTTGAAAAAATGACAGTGGACGGCAAAACTTGTGATCACGAGATACTGTCAGACCTGGGTGGGTGTCTTCCAACACGGCCAAGCAATGCTTCGAAGCCTCACGGCGTGCTTGTATTATGGCTTTTCATGATTCTGCTCTATGTTATGGTAGCCTAGCGTCATCTCAGACTAAACAGCCAAGGATCGACACTTTGCAGACCTATTGGCTTCGAGATTTAGTGGTTCACAGACTCAGACTCCACTCGTTGACGTTGACGGTTGTAAACCTTCCTCTTGCGAACTACAGACAGTAGATCTACTCTGACCCTCAACTTGTTCACGGGTTACAGCGACCATGGGGAGTATGGGATGGCCACGGCTGCACGAAGTTGTAGCCTTGACAGTTGTCTTGATGTTCTGGAGTCATGCTGTAACTCCCTCCTTGGCTTGCAAGGGCCAGAAGAACATCGTGTTTATCATCATCGATGATGGGGGCTTCGAGAGCGCAGGTAAGCACTACAGAGAGCGTGTGTGCCTTGACAGATTGCCATTGCAATACGCACATGTCTTCCAATGAATAAAAATATGGAAGTTTTGGTGTCATATTTCGGTAGTCTCAATTCTGAATCGGTCTGTGTACTGCTATATTGTGCCTGTGGTCATGCAGCGTATAACAACACAGCCATCAAGACACCTCACATTGACGCACTGGGACTGCGCAGTACCATATTCGACCATGCCTTCACCACTGTGTCTAGCTGTAGTCCCAGTAGATCAGCCATTATGACCGGTCTGCCCACTCATGAGAATGGAATGTGTAAGTAACAGACACTTAGTTTGCTGCATGATTCTCCAAAGCAATCACACTACTTTAGAGCGGAGTAGGACGCACTCAGCCAGTTTCAGGGAAGTACGCGAGTTGGATTGGGAAACTGGCAGGGTCTCAGCTTACCCGGCCAAGACCCTTCGACTTGGCAACCCGACGACTACGGGCAGTGATATAATTATTACATTGGACAATCCGAATGGAGCTCTATCCGTTGGATGTTCATATTTGAAATTCACTTCTCGAAGTCTGTGTTGCCTTCAGCACTCACTTTTGAGCTCACTGTTCGAATGTTCACCAGTAATTGCTTGTGGCATTGCTTACTGCTTATGCTGCAGATGGCCTGGAGCATTCTACTCATCATTTCCATTCATTTGACCAAGTGCAGAGTCTGCCACTGATACTTAGCAAACATGGCTACAGGACAGGACTGATAGGTAAGATGTATGGTAGGCCCGGTGTGTATCAGTGGTCTGATAGGTAAGATGTATGGTAGGCCATGTCACATGACTTAGCCCTTGGCGGATAATGATCGAAAATCGCCAGATTTTTGATCGAAAAGCAGTGAAATTGGCAAAACCATCCAAAGCTCATGGTAGGCAATTCCTTGAACTTTCTGCTCAACTTCCTTTTTTTCTATAATATTACACTAAACATGAATGAAACATACCTGAAAAGTACCAAATTCTGTTAGTTTTTCTTCGGCATTATCCGCTTAGGTATGGTAGTCCGTGTGTGTGTGTGTTTGTGTGTTTGTGTGTGTGTGTGTGTGTGTGTGTGTGTGTGTGTGTGTGTGTGTGTGTGTGTGTGTGTGTGTGTGTGTGTCCCATATGATGCAGTGGTATGTGCAGTCGATTTCCAATCGAGAGGTTGCGGGTTCAATTCCCGACGATTATGGTCGCACACGTCTTTCTTCTCTTTCTCGGTCTCTTCCTGACTTTTCTTTCATTCTCCTGGATGGTTACCAACAGCCAGTGTATGTCGGAGTATGTGGTGTGGTGTGTGTGTGTAGAAAAAAAAGAAAAAGAAAAAAAGAAAAAAATGGAAAAATAGGGATTCACTGGCCAGAAAAAGTCACTTCAATCAGCTGTGTGGTGGATACCAGGCTAAAAATAGTGGCGGTCAATTCATCAGCCTTGCAAGCTGTTGAATGGTGTAATCCCAGCACAAGTTGCTATGTCTAACATAGCTGTTCGCTATCATCGCTTCCGCGATGGGCAGGTCTGAGGTCTGAGGTGTATGTGTGCAGGACAGGACAGGTGTGTGTGTGTGTGTATGTGTGCGTGTGGGTGGGGGGGGGGGGGGGAAACCTATGATATGCTGTGTACGTGTATGGCTGGACACCTCTTCCAATGTCAGGCGATTTCATCATCAGATGAGTTGCTTTGTATGGAGTGCCGGCAAAGTCACGATGCAGTGATGTGCTAGTTGATTGATTTCCAACTCACCACTCTGCACCCATAAGCAAATCCACTGACTCACCACTATGACATCATTCACACAACCTCTCTATGATTAGAGTGTTCAGTGGCTGATATGCACTTCTATTGTGTTCTCTTGTTGTTCCCTGTCATGAGTGTGTACAATGCCACATCTCTCCCTTTCCCTGAGAAGTGGATTGTCTTTCACGCTGGATTCGGAATTGGGTGAGACCGACAAAGTGCAGTTTCCAGTCAGTTTCTACTCCTGATCAACTCATTTTCCACTCACGGCATTCTACTCACATTCATCGTTATCCAACCACTGTGTACGGTGTACGGTGTACGGTTTGATACAGGAAAGAAGCATGTGGCTCCGCTATCTGTGTACCCGTATGACTATGAGCGCTCGGAGCAGGTGCTTGGCCGTGAGTACTGATTCTGTATTCTTAACAGAAGTTTTGTGGCTTCCTGCAGCTTCATATTAGAAGATTTTGGTTCAGATTTTCAGTGAGACTGGAATGGGTATGTCCACCAAAACCTCTTTTCTATCTGTATAATTAATTTTCTTACTACGACCCCCCTCCCCCCCCCCCCCCCCCCCACACACACACACCTTCATCCCTGATCCCAACTATACCTTCATGATCATCCTTGTGTTCTTATCTTGGTGAGGTGTTCAGGGCACATGTGCGACTCAGACTGGTACTGCATAATGGTCACACACACATTCTACTGGAGAGTTTTGATCTGGCTGGTAACACTTGCTGCATGCATGTATGTTGCCGTTGCTATAATCAATGCCTCCATCATTGAAAACGGGATTGTTCAATGTAACATCATCTGCTGTGCAGCTGCGCCTATGGGCTTGGCAAACCTGAGAAACATCACATTGATGAAGGAATATGCGCAGGAGTTCCTAGGTGGCTGCAAGAATGATTCAAGGCCGATCTTCCTGTGTAAGCGTGCATGAAGATCCACCGCTGCACCATCATTATCACACAAGCATTGCACATGACACCTCTGTCCTTTCAGGCATGGTCAGGGCACATGTCCATGGCGCATTCTCTCACTCTCCTGCCAGGCAACATCGGCACATGCATTATCATCGTAGCCTGCACTATCAGTATGCGGCTGTTTAGTTGTAGTGTGTACTGTGTACTCACTTTACAACAATAACATAACTAGGGCAATGACTCAAGATTAACAGAGCTGGAGTGATGCATCAAACCACCCAAACACAATTCCTTCACCATTATGCACAAATACACAACTCCGGGCATGGGTGGGAATGGCCGGTGATCATATTCTTCCTTCTTGTTATGCCTCCTTCTGATAGATTTTGGCTTTGGTGATCCGCATCGTTGTGGTGGCAATAAGGGTGAGTTCTGTGAACTGTACGGTAGCGGGGGTGAGCACGGCATAATTCCCGACTGGACTCCCGTCAAGTACGATCCAGCCGACGTTCTGGTTCCGTACCATGTGCCTGACACACCAGTTGTAAGTCTGATTGATAACGGCTGCTGCTCGTGTACCGTATGCCATTTCCATTGAGCCCTTCATGTGCCAGCACTGTTACGGTGAAACCCGTCTAAGGCGACCACTCAAGGGACCTTGAAAATGTGGTCCCCGCGTACAGATGGTCTCCTTATCCAGGGTCATTTGACTGGAAATAATACTGTAGTACCCCTTGGTCTAAGTTGTAGTGGTCCTCTAGGACAGGTGGTCACCTTGACAGGTTTTATTGTTACTTGCTAGCACTAGTGAGGTTCTGCTCTACGTTATGGGAAAGCGACGCGAAGAATCCAGGGAATACTCTTTGCGTTCCCGTAACGAAAAGAAAACCTGTTCTGCTCTACGTTCATGTAGAGAAATAACGTAGAGTGTGTACTGGGAATTACCCTTCCATATTTGGCAGTTTTCTGCCTGCATTTTAATGATACCCAGCAGATCCGTATGCATTTCTTTGCGTATGCCGCAACGTAGAGAACCTCATCTACGCGTAGAAATCTGGAGCCAAAACACGCGAAGCCGTAGACTCTAACCCAGACACCTGCTCTTTACATGATTTCTCTACGTTTCATGTATAGCAGAACCTCTCTACTATTATGGATCAGCACTGCTATGTGCCAGCAATATTATGTGCCAGCACTGCGATGCGCTGCTTTTGGTTATTGTTTCAATGCATTCCAGTACACCTGTGCTATGCTGTTGTAGGCTCGTCAAGACCTGGCTAACCAGTACACCAGTATCAGTCGGCTTGATCAGGGCATAGGGCTGATGATGAAAGAACTGGATAGTGCCGGTCTCACTGACGATACTCTCATCATGATGTTCAGGTGAGTGTGTTCAAAGCAGGGCCGAGACATCCACTAGTTGTTGTTTTACGGGTGTTCACGCATCGTAACTCTAAACCAGAGACAAGCCATGGTCGCATGAGTTCAAGTGACAATGGCTTTGACCATACTTGTTGCAAGCTTTCTGAAGATGACTACTGAGGTACACATGTGGATTGGAGCACTTTTCTGAGAGACTAGGAGTGAGCAAAGGTTTCTTATCCTGAATGTGTAGTAGACTGCAATGGTGCCAGGGGCGTGGGAAGGCAATTTAGGGTGGTGCGGTCAGCCATCTGAGGTACAATTTACATGCTGGGATGGCGTGGCTCCGCTGAAAATGTTCGAAATTTTGACTCCAAATCAGTGTTTTTGATTGATTCATGGGGTGCCTGGGATAAAAGGTGGTACTGTCAATACTGCAGTGACCGTAGCATGTCCCACACCCCTGGGTACTTACCTGTCCCACACCCCTGGGTACTTACCTGTCCCACACCCCTGGGTACTTACCGGTGGGGTAGAAGTGGCACTGTTAATCTCATACCGTCCATTTCATCCAATTGTCTTTCTGCAGTGACAACGGTATTCCTTTCCCAGGTATGTTACCATGAGATAATGATATCATGCACCTCCGCCTGTGTACCAACTCTTTCAAATAATATCCATGTGTATCTCCGCTTAGTCCATGTGTATCTCCGCTCAGACCTTGTGTGACTCTGCATATTTGTATTGCATGTATCTCCATAGCCCCTATTCTTGTTTAGAACTTTAGACCCTCCCAAGCTATTGCTGCGGGAAGTGTGGATATTTCGGTGACTCAGCTAGTGTATCCATGCTAGCAGATGTGGACCTACTCTATGCTAGCATGCATGTACACATTCATATACACACAGTCACGCATGCACACACACCACACATACACACACACACACACACACACCTGCCCTGTCCTGTCCTGTTGACCCACTGCCGTAAAGGTTACGTGGTCCCATTGCGGGAGGTGGGAGAGGAGCAAACATGCCGGTGCCGGGTCAGGTCCCTGGACTGCCGAAATCTCCGAGAGCAGTGCTGACACAGTAGTGGAAACTTGGCACGTTCATCCGTTGTTGGGCGGTTCTGGCGAGATCTACAAGGAGCGGGAGCGGGCTGCCTAGCGATTGAGGTAGGCTGACACCTGTGCACAGCGAGTCCACCTCTGCTACGATACCATTTCCCATAATCTGCGCATTGACATGCACCATGCTGCTGTTGGACTGGCTTGCGACGCTCCGCTGTGCACTTGTGGCGCTTAAGATCGCTTGGTCTAGAGCAGACCTTTCCACAGATGGGGCACTCAACGGGGGCTGCTGCTGCCAGTTCCTTATCCTGGTCTTCATATCTACATCGCCATTCCATTCGAGATGTGTTAGCGGTCTGGTACCAGTTCACAATTTGGTTATGGCGAAGATCGACCGACACGCAGTCCTTCCACCGTTTCTTTGGTCCCTGGGCAGATCTGATAGGTGGGAGCTGGCCAAACAGAAGGCACTTCGGCATGCGGGTGTCATCCATGCGCGCCAGGTGACCTAGCCACTCTAGCCGACGATGCCGAAGCTTACAGGTGATGGTCTCCTGATCCCCCACATATGCAATAGAGTCAGCATTGCTGATGTGGGCATCCCACATCTGTTGTCTCGACACACCAAGGATGGAGTGGACGCGACGCATATGGAAGGTGGACAGGCGTTGCAAGTCGCCCTGAAGGGGGACCCAGCCCTCCGAACCGCATAATAGCAAGGACATGACACACGCGTTGAAAACACACCTCTTCACGAACACAGGAAGCTGACCATTGGCAAATACAGGGCGCTGTAAAGTACCACAGGCCTTGGAGGCACTCGTGATGCGGGCGTTGACGTCCACTGCCGAACGGCTGTTGCTGGCGATAATGGAACCCAGATACCTGAATTCAGGCACATTCTTGATCTCAACATCCGCCAGCGTGAGTGGGACACAGTCTGGATCTTGGACGTTGCTGCCGCACACCATGAATTGCGTCTTGGTAGTGCTGACAGTTAGTCCAAAATCAGCAGCAGTCGCCTGGAATACAGAGAGCGCGAGCTGAGCACCGTCACGCGTAGTCGCCAACAAGGCTGAATCGTCGGCGAACTGGCATTCCCCAAACTTGGTCGATATCTTTCGCGTCCTCGGCTTGCCGAACAAGTTGCCGTCAATGCAATAGCGAACCTCCATGCCGACGCCAGGAACTGCCGACACTCTCCGGGACCAAACAGTGAAAACGGCCCACATGAATAGATTGAAAAGCACGGGGGCCATAGAGCACCCTGCCTCAAGCCGTTGTTGATGGTGATGGGTTGAGTGTGTCCCTGGGATGTGCGGATTATGGCAGACATAGATGTGTGAAAGGACTTGACGACAGTGAGGAGGGTGTCCGGTACCCCCACCCCCCACACACACACATTTCCCCTGTGGTACCATGTACAGTGCTGCTAATCCAGTCGTGTCACTCAAGTACACGTCGGGCGCTGCACAGCCATAGACCTGCGAACACTGGGAAGCCGAAATGGTGCAAGGTGCAAACTCAGGTTGAGTGACGCTGTGACTGGATTTCATTGAGCAGGACTGTACATGTATTGTACATGTACACACATGTACAGTGCATGGTGGTTATTGTTCTGGCTAAGGTCCTTAAATCCTCGACGGCATTATTGTTGTTGTTTGTACAGGGGCCAAGACTAACCTTTATGAACGTGGCATGGGAGAACCAATGTTTGTGCATAAGTAAGTGCTTGCAGCTATGCCGACGGTGACATTGCTAAGTTACGACTTACCATGAATACATATGGTGTACTATGATTGATGTGTATACCAATTACATGTGATAAAGTTATCTATACTACACTCATCTCCATACAGGCCAGTCTTTCCTCAGTTTGGTATACTGAGCACAGCTGACTGTGCATGTCTTTGTAATGGAATTAGCCTGCAGGTGAGTCCCGGCAAACCGACCAGATAGACGGTACAGGTCAAGCATGTTATTCAGTTATCAGCATGTATAACTATAACAACAGATTGGAGTATGCCAAGTTCTTCTCACTTCCTGGTTTTTGGGCTCAGTGTGTGCGCAGTGTGTGCTCAGTGTGTGCTCAGTGTGTGCTCAGTGTGTGCTCAGTGTGTGCTCAGTGTGTGCTTCACTGCACAGTATTTGTGTTCATGGATTCTCCACAGGCATTATAGCCTAAGTTAAGGGAGTCTCCGTCCATGCCGCTTATTTGTATGATTCCAAGGCTCTGTGTTGTGTGTGTGTGTGTGTGTTGTGTTTGTCAATGTGCCGACATCAGTCCTAAGCTGCAACAGAAAGGCTTGCATAGCAAAGCACTAGTCAGCTCTGTGGACATGGTCCCCACCGCACTGGACTGGGCTAATGTGCACTACCCAAACTACACTATCTGGTCCAAGGTATGTAAGCTGGATGTAGTGCTAAGCTCAAACACATCCTATAATAATTATATAGCAGTGGCACAAATCTAGAGCCACTGTCATCTGTACTTTGAAATCAGTTATAAACCACTGCAGACATGATGTGACTACAACGACATGATACTACACTTTCACCAGTTTAGAGTTTAGACTGCTGTACGCCTTCAATCAGCCATAGAGCATGTCTTTAGATAAGATTGGTATGGTAGCTGTTGTGCAAGCTGGATGAGTCGCTGCCGTTATCCTACCCACAAAAAGCTATGCTCACACACACACACACACACACACACACACACACACACACAGTTTGATATCGTGCAGTGGCATCAATCGCGCATACGAATACATGCATGTGCAGGTACACATCCGGACAAGAATCCTGATGTGGACTCTTCAGCTTCTCGTTGGATGTCAACCACATGGAACATCTGGACAATACTGAATTTTGGTGGCAAAAAAGAGAATACTGTCAAACTGTTTCAAAACCTGCTATCATATCTATTTTGTACATCGCACCTGTTCTGTTGTTTGGCTTGGTAGAAAAACGTGGAGCTCCAAGGTCGCTCACTGCTGCCGATCCTGGAAGTGGTCGAGCCCACGGAAGGATTCGATGCAGTCTTCGCATCTCACCAGATGCATGAGGTGTGTTATGGAACACACATAGCAACTAATCACGATTGAAATCCCTTCGCATTTGATTTCCTCCTTCTTTGGCCTTTTTGTAGAGAGTCTAGGCACGGATAGGTTGAAGAACAGAGATTCTGTACAATTGGACGATGGTTTCTGGACTCTTCCCAGTCCTGATGGGGTCTCATAACATTCAATCTTGACTTTGGTATTTTCTCAGTGTGGGTCTAGTGTTGCACTCTTGCTTTGTAATACTCAATTTGCACATGTACATGTGTATATGGTTGTGCGTGTATGCGCGCATGTGTGTGTGTGTGTGTGTGTGTGTGTGTGTGTGTGTGTGTGTGCGTGTGTGTGTGTGTGCGTGTGTGTGTGTGTGTGTGTGCGTGTGTGTGTGTGCGTGTGTGTGTGTGTGTGTGTGTGTGTGTGTGTGTGCGTGTGTGTGTGTGCGTGTGTGTGTGTGTGTGTGTGTGTGTGTGTGCGTGTGTGTGTGTGTGCGTGTGTGTGTGTGTGTGTGTGTGTGTGTGCGTGTGTGTGTGTGCGTGTGTGTGTGTGTGTGTGTGTGTGTGTGTGTGTATGTGTGTGTGTGTGTGTGTGTGTGTGTGTGTGTGTGTGTGTGTGTGTGTGTGTGTGTGTGTGTGTGTGTGTGTGCTTACAGGTAACAATGTACTACCCGATGAGAGTGATTCGGAACAAGTCCTATCGTCTCATTTACAACATAGCCCACCGTCTAGAGTACCCCATTGCCGGTGATCTCTACAGTTCACCAACATACCAGGTACACGGATACAGCGTATGACAAGCAATCATGACAGTACTGGTGGATGCCGAAGAACTGGGGGGGGGGGGGGGGTCAGCCTCTTTGCCTAGGTCGTTCCTCTTTTTCAAGTACTAGTCTATGTACAGTTGAGTCACGGGGTATGGTGAAACCCTAGCCTGTCCGACTGTGTATGCATTAGTATGTTGTGCTTGGTGAATCCCTAGCCTGTCCGTGTATGCATTAGTATGCTGTGCTTGGTGAAACCCTAGCCTGTTTGTTCTTCAGCACCCGACAGTGCTGTCCTGTAGCTATGCATACCCCCGGCATCATGCAGCAATACCTCGCCCAGTGGATCATGACTGGCATAGCCTGAGCATGTTATGCTCCTCTAACGTTGCCTAGACTCGCGTTCAGCTGACCAACCATAGCCTAGGCATAGGCTTTGTACTGACGGAGGCATCAAAGGTCACGCGAAGTTGTGAGAGTTGCCAATAGCAGTCTTATGGGCTGTAGATACTTAACGGGATCACATCCAGACCTGTCCTACCAGGATGACTACATGTAGATGCACAATTGAATTGTTCCGATGCTGTGGGCCCTGAATGGCAACCAGTGGCATACGCATGGAGCGGGATGTAGGATAATGAAGTGTTGGATGTTGTACACATACATGTAGTAGTTTTCCCCTGTAAGACGTTTTATGTCGGAAAACGGGTCAATAAAGAATGTGTTTAACATGCACATGTATATTATGATTGTGTTGATGCAGGATATACTGAGTCGCAATGCGTCCGGTCAGTCACTACACTGGTACAAGACTATTGATCAGTACTTCAACAGGCCAAAATGGGAATTGTTCAACTTGAACAAGTAAGAACCTACTGACGGGGTGTGATAGTGCTGATGGGGTCTCTCTGATATGTATGACATGTACATTCTACATTCTTTAGTCACTGGTTCAGCAATCATACTCTCTGTGAGATATCAGTCAGTGTGTTTTGAATGCATTTCTCGCTGCAATGATATTGATATTCGGTGTAGGAAAGCTATAATTGTAATCCCGGTGTATGATGTTGGCGTCTATAAAGCGAGCAAGAAAGTCACGTTGACACGATTGTAGCAATCCTCATAATATTGTTGTCCAGCTTCAGAAAGTTTATGTTGGGTGAAAAGGACTAAGCTCAGCGTCGCAGAAAACAAGCACATTCTGTCTAGCGAGGGAACACATGGAATACCCTAACCCTATCAATTCTCAAAGTCTTCAACAACCTTCTTCAATATGTGGAGCCTCCGGGCTCCACTGCAGCCAATTAATCATAATTATCTGAAATCTCCTTCTTCACCACCACAGTCTTACACTGCTATCGTAAAATATATCTCCAAATGTTTGCCCTTGGGCTACATCAGGGAGTATATGAATGTGAAGCTAGGTCAGCTGCCGCTTCAACAACGCAGCCATGTTCTTGCATGTTTGTCTTCTCCCCGCTGTGCAGTGATCCAATGGAGCTGACAAACCTTGCCAGTGATCCAGCTCATGCTGACACTCTCTCCACAATGCAGGCGCAGCTGAAAGCTTGGCAGGTGGAAACTAACGACCCCTGGCTGATTAAGTACACACACGAGTAGCATTATCATCGTCACCATGGTACCACGCCATGGTCTAAACACATTCAATGATTGATGTCACTGCAGAGTGCTCAGCGGTTTTGCCACGTTTACTAGGCTTACTACAACCATAATTTGTATTCAAAGGATCAGTCGGGGAAGTGAACTGCCTGAAAAGAGAAGAAATCACCAGACCCACCGGGACTTTTATAATTTTATTTTGAAGTATTTTAATTTAAAAAAATATTTGATGAAGTGATCTTGCTCAACCTCTCCTATCTGGAAATATTAGGATTGTGCGGCTCACTTTTAGGATTGTCATGTTCAGCTTTGAACATCGGAGTAGTATCAAAGAAAGCAAAACAGATCCACTCTCTCGTCACAGATGCACCAAGTTTGGTTTAGCAAAGAATCCTCTGCTCGCATAATCGTTGTATTGCCAGCAAGATCGGCAGAATAGAACAGGGCTGCATGTTACGACAAGCATACTGTACCAGCCATCACGCATGCCTATGCAAGTACCAATAATATCCACGGAGCATGGCATCAAGTTGAAATAGGGTCGTGTGAGATAGGGAAACTCACAAGCCGGTGCAACCCAGTTGCTATGGTAACACTGGCTCTGACGGGCATAAAGGAGAACCAGAAAATAGAAATTTGGTGTGGATCAGTATGGTTTGGTGTGGATCAGTATGGATCAGTGTGGATCAGTATGGAACAGTGTGGATCAGTATGGATCAGTATAGAGCTGTATTACGTGAATTAAGTGCTACCACCACCAAGTAACACTGCAGAAAAGATAAGAGCTATGAGAAGATTGTTTACATCACGACTTCTCAAGGACATAGCGACTAAATAAAAAAACACTATGGTTACAGCCAAAAATGATAGTGCAGCGAAGAATTGGCCTATCAAGACTCAAGTTTGTGGGAATAGTTTTTTGACGGCGCTAGCATGACACCCATCAGTGCAGTAAAAACATCACACATGGTACTAAGAACGCTGATGCTGCTGGGACAGTTTACGCTTGAGTCAATAAATAATTCAAGTGGGGGCTCAGTTGTCTTCACTCGGGGGGGGGGGGGGGGGGGCACATGGATATTGAATGCCTAATACTAAAAGAAGGGAGTTTGTCAACATAGGCACAAACAGCCACAAGGCTAAACAAAGACACCATCGCAGTGACACCACTGGACGCATAGCTAGACAGGTTGGAATACGGAAATCATTGAACACTGAGGACATATTGAAGTCTCCAGGGTAAGGCAAGAGTTCGTATCAGATAGAGGTTTCCAAGAACGATGTCAGAAAGTAAATCAGATAGACGTTTCCAGGACGGGCAGCAGAGACTAGACAGAAGTTTCCAAGACCGACGTGAGAGATGATATCAGATAGAGGTTTCCAGGACTGGTAGCAGACTCTTGCTACTAATCTCCTGCAGATAGCTGGCCGGTATCCAGCCAATTTCGTTGGTCTCCACCTTGCGTACCTCCCACCATCCACCGTGACCCAGCTGCAACACTTCCACGGCATCGCCGACGACAAATCTAACTTCACCTTCCTCCGTTCCACGGAAGTCAGCAGTCACCGCACAAAACTGACGATTCGACGGACTCTGGAGACAAGAAATTAAGCACCAATATCCAGTGGAATGTTTAGACAGCGTGAATCCACACATTATCGTGAACTACACACATGCAACTGCGCTAGAATTTCACACAAACATTTTCCTGAAGATTGCAGTACTATTTTTCAGGTTGCGCAGACTCCTCTGCAGACAATTCATGTTTAAGAAAATACTCCCGTCAACAAATACGGTTACATTTTATATTATATTGCAGTCCTGAGCCTGGCTTTGACGGAAGTATTTTCTTAGGCTGCAGTACTACATTACAAATATATTTGCACGGTACACATTAAATACCTGTAGTTAAACCACACTGCACATCGCAGCACATCACTATTACGCAAGCCTTACCGCAACTATGAATGATGGATCGCACAGGTCACCCTGTAAACCCATGGCAATGTCTACATCTTCATCAGCAGCCGCCTCATCATCAGCATCCAGACTACTACCGCCAACGCCACGTAGACTATCATCTGACACATTTCTTCCTAAGGATCGTGTGGCGTCCAAACCGTCTGCATCGTCCATGCTGTCCATAGTGATAGCGGTGGTGGGCGCACTGGATTCGATGGCTATGCGTCTTCTTGTGAGGGTGTTCTGGCTCCAGTGACTACTCCTGTATACAGCAAACAAGAGCACACAGTATGTGCACACAACATCAATAGCTTCTGATGCCATTGGACGTATGTAATCAAGCACGCTCAGGAGGTCATGATGGCTGAATCTTGCCCGAGCCTGCAGCCCAAGGGCCGTAGGCCCGAGGGCTGCAGGCAAGGGCAGCATTCAGCCATCATGACAGACAGAGCGTGCTTAATTTGATTTCTTACATCGCGAAGCAACATATTAGGGAAGGTCAAAGGTCGAAAGGTCGAAAGGTCGAAAAATTATTCCCGAAATGACGTCAAACGGTCCGAACATTCCCGAAATGACGTCAAACGGTCCTGAAACTCCCGAAATGACGTCAAACGGTCCTGATGGCCTGATTATGCCCGCGGCGGGAAGATCGCCTATTGGCCATGGCCCCGGCAACGATCACGTGTCATGTAAGAAATAGACATCTTACTTGATAGTATCATGCTCGTCATGCCCTCACATGCTAATTATTCACTGCAGCATCTCCCGCCGACCACCATACCCTCTCCATGTAACCGTGGTACAGTGCATTTTGATGCAGAACACATATTATTAAGACCAACAGTGTACTGTGGAATTTTGGAGTGACCGATATCTATCTGATGTCATCCATGATGCCACACAAGGTGTTATACATGATGCCATACAATTATGTCATTATGTCACACAACTTGACACAAGGTGTGACACATGATGTCATACATGATGTCACACTTGAAGTCATACAATGTATGTCCTCATGTAATACCATGTAAAACGTCATGTCATGATGTCTTACATGATGTCACACATGATAGTACACATGATAGCACACACAATGCTGTGTACATGGCAAGGACTAGGCCGTTCCCCATTCTATGGACAGCATCTCATCCAGTAAGAATTCAAATCCTGTAGGACTTACACAGAAGCTGATCTCTTCACAGTGGCAACTCCTCGAGCCTGGAGAATACTCGCAGGACTCAAACCAACTGCTGTTGTGTTAGTACCTGCTGCTCCACTAGCTGTAGAGCCAATGGTAGAAGCAGACTCCGAAGCACCTAGTAACCGCAACAGCAGATCAGGACAAAGCGATAGAGTTGAGAAACCCAGGCGTATTCAATCCCATTTTCTGATGAAATCGATCAGTAAGGCTGAGTGAGACTGCACATACACCAGGTGACCATCAAGTGACCATGGGGCAGGGTACCACACATACATCAAGTGACCATGGGGCAGGGTACCACACATGCTGTGCTACTTACGATGACCTGGCGCACGGGGCAATGTCAAGAGACCTTCTTCTTGCCGTGCTATATCTACATTCAGCAGCAGCAGTGTGAGAGAGAGAGAGAGAGAGAGAGAGAGAGAGAGAGAGAAAGAGAGAGAGAGAGAGAGAGAGATAGAGAAAGAGAGAGAGAGAGAGAGAGAGAGAGAGAGAGAGAGAGAGAGAGAGAGAGAGAGAGAGAGAGAGAGAGAGAGAGAGAGAGAGAGAGAGAGAGAGAGAGAGAGAGAGAGAGAGAGAGAGAGAGAGAGAGAGAGAGAAGGAAAGGGAGAAAGAGAGAATGCAATTTAGAGCGTGAACAGGGGGATGTGAGATTACGAATACTAGTAATAGGGATAAGTCATATTGGGAAAATGAGGTCCTAGAGGTTAAACATACACTGTGATCATAGGACGGTGTCCAGGGTGTTACAGAACACAACACATGACACTAAACACTGGGACTATGAATGGAGTACTCACTTTCAAAACAACACATGACACTAAACACTGGGACAATGACATAACACACCCATTGTGTGGGGAACTCACTTTGCATGTGTGTCAGCTGCTGTTCCAGGAGGTTGCGTAGCTCACCGACCCACGCATGTTTGACTTTCACAGATGGAGCCTATTGCAGAACAACACATAAAATCACAAGAGGAGCGAGTTTAAACAGCAGACTGTGACTTGCTACATAGCTACTTGAAGGACATCTCCATGCCGTTCTATCCTGCTTTACTCTGCTCTAGCTTGCCTTGCCCAGAAAGCTGCCGGATATGTGCTATCTACATGGAATGCACACACACGTACGTGCACGCACACCCGGACACACACGCACGCGAACACACACACACCCAGTGACACACACTAATATTGCAGCAAGCGGCACGGCAGGCACCACATCTTTCTTTCCTGGTTACCTGCAGTGTGTAGGCCTTGGCATGGTTGTGATGTGCCACTTGAAACCGACTCTCTCCGCCATCACTGGTCTCAGTCAGTGCAAGTTCAGAGATCTACAGACACAACACAGAATCATTATAAACCAGTACCCAGAAGTACATAGGGGATACCAGTACCCAGAAGTACATAGGGGATAGACACAGAGTACCTGCAAGAAAACACTACAAATGCTATCACACTGGCTACATGTGCACATCATGCATACACTGAGTTACTATGGCAACAGTACAACATGATCAATGCAAGCGCCAACAAGACATCAGTACAGAACAACACATACAGTCCAGTCCAATCTCCGGCCTGTTACATGCAGCAGGGCGTGAAATCTAGGAGTGGAGACAGATTGTTATTCCACTGGAGCATAATGTGTATTGTTATGTGTAGTATAATAAAGACTGACAGCATCCTTCTGGTGCTCAGGATCGGAAATGGTGCTGCGTCCAATCTTGGTCCTCTCACATTGCACTAGCATAGCCCGCATGGCTGTGTATAGCATTATACCATTATAGCACAGTATGAAAGAGATTACTTCAAAGTGCTGCTGCATACCTTGATGCTGTCCTTGTAACTGTACAGTGTCTGCCTGTCACCTTCACGCGGCTGCCGTTTCTTGCTCAGGATCAGCACTTGCTCGTAGAGGAATACATGACGTTCTCGCTCGGCATTGTTACGTAACAGCTTCAGTCGCCCTCCACTCTCACGCCAGGCATGGAAAGAGTTCTACAAGGATTGCAAGGGACAAGAAAAGGACAGGAATCATGATCACCTTTTTCTGAATGAAATTCTTAACCTCAACTCATGCGCCACAAAGTACTGC